TTCTCTACTTATTTATTATTTATTTGTTATTATTATTTTTTGCTTATGTATTTATTGATTAAATTAAAATCATTTATTTATTTAATTAAATATTATTGAATTTTCAATGATTTCCTTACAAATAAAATTTTCAAAAAAATCATTTTTAAGAAAAAGTTGAAAGTATCAATTTTTCTTGAAAATACAATTTTTAAAAGAAATATTTTTGAGAAAAAATTAAAAGTATCAATTTTTCTTAAAAATAAAATTTTAAAAATTTTTCAAAAAATGTATTTTTAAGGAAAAGTTGAAAGTGTCAATTTTTTTTAAATAAAAATTTTAAAAAGGGTATTTTTTTAGGAAAAGTTGAAAATATAAATTTTTTTTAAAAATAAAATTTTCAAAAAAATATTTTTAAGGAAAAGTTGAAAGTATTAATTTTTCTTAAAAATAAATTTAAAAAATATATATTTTTAAGGAAAAGTTGAAAATATCAATTTTTCTCGAAAATAAAGATTTCAAAAAAAATATTTTGAGAAAAAACTGAAAGTATCAATTTTCCTGGTATAAAAACATGAATTTTTTTTTATAAAACAAAAAAGATCTTTATCAAGAATTGAAGCATTATTTTTTTTCTCTTTCATTTCTTGGATTTTTTTTTAAATGTCAAATAATCCGACGACGAAAATTTTGCAAAAAAAATAATAATTTTCTTGCATACTCTTGAGGTGAGAGAATTTTTTTAATTTTTTATCAAAAGTATTAAAATCAATTAAGAATAATTTTTAATAATTAATTACTTGATAAAATTTTTTAGGGCTAATGGATAACATGAAATCGAGTTGGTATCATCTTTTGATGGGCGTTGTGAGGGTGTTATAACCTTTCTCACACATAACCGTACTCCCGGACTCAGTTTTAATTTTACGGACATTGAATCTACCTTACAAAGATACCTAAGTCAAACTTATTATTTCTCTTTAAAAAAGGATAGATTCAATCAGGTGGCCAATCACACTTAAATAATAAAGATTGGTGACGACTCTTTAAGTCAATGTCTAGTCTTAGATCCTCAAATCTAGACATTATAACAGTTTGACGACTCCACTCAGCCGAAAGTCAGGCTAGTAAATAAATTCGTGTTATCCAAAAAGCCTAATAAAATTGAATTCTTTGTAAGGATTTTTTTTTCTTTCTTTTTCATTCATTTTATTTATTTATGTTATTAATTATATCATTCATATGCATATGCATAATATGAGCTCTATATTCAAGCTCTGTCCCTCTATAAGAGAGTAAAGTACTTATGCTTTCGTGAGGTTCTAATGCTTTCGCAGTGACTAGCGAAATACTCTCAATAAAATTGAACCTTTTTCGCTTGCAGCTTGCAATGAGTGAGGATTAGGGTGCTTTAGTAGTTTGTGATGGACAATGATGTAAGGAGTAATTTGAAAACCTTTAGACTATCAACCTTAAACCATATATAGTGAGCATGAGGAACCTAACCTGTAGTTAAAGCTTTACCTTTCTCTTCTGTAGAAAAATCCAACTGTTAAGTTACATTTTTACAAAGATTGATTTTTCTTGAGTGGAAATTAACTGTTGTATATGTCATGTTGCATGAATTGTCGTGATTAAATGCATGTTAGTTGAATTTTTTTTTTTCATCTATTTTTTTTTCATTTAAAGTAAGATAATATTAGGCTGCATATATTTTTGGCATTCATTTCGTATGTGTTAACTTGAAATCATGTTAAGATTATTTTTATAGTCCTGCTTTCATGACATGAGCATGTAGTAATACAACATCTTAATTTGTGATAATCAAAGGTTCAAGGATAACTCGACCGTCAACAAATTCAAGCCAACCTGCACGTCACCATATAATACTCGATTGCGAGCAAGGCAAATGGAATAGGAATAAAGTACCTATATGGACAAAATTGAAAAAGCTCAAGAGGAGATAAAATAGGAGTTAGCAAAGATGATGAAAATGCTAGAGAAATTGGATAAAGGTAAAACAGTAAAAGATACCCCAAATTCAAATGAGAAATGGGATATTATGGATCCTCTACACTTTTTGAGATTTAGCCCAAATCAGGGCCAATCTCTTCTAAATGCACAAGCTCCATGGATGCCATTTTTAAGGCATATCCTAAAGTACCATTTCATAGTTACACTAACCTTACCTTTGGGGTAAATGTGTGTGATCCCATTGAGGTCCTTGATTTTGATGATCTTAAAGAGAAAGAAAGATTGAAGATAAAAACTTCTAAGGTGATGGAAGACTTGAGCATGCAACAATGAACCTTCTAGAAGAAAGAGTGCGAGCTATCGAAAGAATGGATTATTTTGACTCTGTAGATGCAGTTGAACTATGCTTAGTTCCAGATGTGGTCATCCCACAAAAATTTAAAGTTTCTGAATTTAAAAAATACGATGGGACAAAATGTCTGGTAATTCATGTTACCGTTTATTGTCATAAAATGGTTGTCTATGCTCATGATGAAAAACTACTGATGCATGTGTTTCAAGATAATCTTACTGGTATGTCCAGTTAGGCTGAACCCGTATCCATTCTTGGAACATTCTTGAAATGATTTGGTAAAGGCATTCATCACTCAATACCGACACATTATAGACTTAGCTCCAGATCATCTATCTCTACAAAGTATAAAAAAAACCTTTTAAAAGCTTTAAAGAGTATGCACAAAGGTAGAGAGATGTAATTGCTCAAGTTCAACCACTTTTTACTGAAAAAAATGATCATTTTATTTGTGAGTACTTTGAAGCCTCCAGATCATGAAAAAATGATTAGGAATACCATCAAGAATTTTGCCGATATGGTGATTTCTAGTGAAATGATAAAAAATGCCATTAAGAGTGATAAGCTTGAAGAATGAGAGACTTCCAATACAAAGAAGGGTGGGATGTCCAAAAGAAAATAAAGTGAAGCTCAAGCTGTGAGTTTGGAAAGACAGCAGTTCAGAAGTTATGCCTCATACCCTCAACCAACATATCCTACCTATTATCTAGCCAATTTTCATGTCACACCAGTTTTTTATCATTCTGTTTCATAACTAGCTTACCAACTAACTTTTCAAGCACCCATATATAAGCATAGTCCTATTGCAACCCTAGCTTCAATGCCTAATAACCAAGCAAGTGGTTTGAGAAAATCTCGAAATAACCAAAAAAGGGCATACATTGACCCTATCCCCATGACTTATATTGAGTTATTTTTAAACTGGTTAAAAATTAATGATAAAATTTTAAGGTGTTTCAAAAAGTGATGTTTAAGAAATCTTTAGGTGAGAAATAGTTTTTCTAATGTTACAACATACTGAAATATTTTAAGAATTATTTTAATAAAAAGATTCTAATTTATTTTTCTCGAATTAAATGAAACAACAACAATAATATTAAAAAAGGAAAAAACCAAAATTTCAATAAATAAAAGAGGTGAAGGAAATTATTTTTCAAATGTTGAAACTAAGACTGTTTTGTCAATATCAAATGATAACATGTTTTTAATTTGTACTGTTTTATACAAGCATTATGAGAGTGCTGATCATTCCTCACACGTAACTGATTTTCTAACTCAAACTGTTTCGCAGATCCTAAAATTATATTATTAATAAATTTTAATTAATCATACAATTTTATTAAAATAATTTATTTTAATAAGTGACCAATTATACTTAATAAAAAAAATTGATGTAGATTCCATTTTTTTTAATATCATTTTCAAATTTATTTGTAACTCTAAAACTGTTACGACATCATCATCAAAATACTTAAATCAATTACCAAATTATTATAATTTTTCCCGATATTGTCAAAATGAATTGTGCTCCTACCAATTTTGGAATAGAAGTTGATCACGAGTCATCTAACTTAAAAAGGCTAATCGAATTAACGTTGAAAACAACGTCAAGTGTTTTCGTTTTCTGGTAATGTTCCCCACACCTCAATTATAAGTTGCGAATCAATTTGTTCTCTAAACTCGTAAACCATAACTTTCATAATGATGACATCCTTCTTTTCTTTTTTTGGGGTTTCTTCTGTTTTAAGACAAATATTTTGAGATTGATTTTCAAAACGTTTTGTCGTTTAACATGTTCTAGGCATAACTGTTACCAATGAGAAAAGGGAAGAAATTTGGAATTCTTTTTATTCTTCACGGGAATCTCTCTTTTCCTTTTTTCTTTTTTTGGAAGTGAAATCGGGAATTTTCAACTGTGAAACTGCTCACAGTAACGAGTTTCATATAAAATGGGTCAGACTTTGCAATTTCACCCTCGATCACCACAAAAAATTGGATTTTTAACAAATTTTTTTTTTTGCCGATTAGCGGCATTTATATAATGTCATGCCTGAACATCATGAATCTAACCGAACTAATTAATTTTTTTTTCAAGTCTCTGTCAAGAAGAGGAGCAGCTAATTGTTGGTCATTCATCAGTACTAATGATCAGTTGCATTCATTTTCCATGGCATTGCAATTTATAGAGGTGATGTTGTTTGTTCTATCCTGGCCTTTTTGTTTAGTTTTAGATGGCTCGCCAGAAGTTTACTCCACTTGTTTTGGGTTTGTTTTAATATTGTCGAGACAACAGCTACTAACCCAGACATTCATATTTGGAATTATAGAGTGATTGCTTTCACTATTAAAATTTCATCTTAAAGTTTTTTTTTTTTTGCAAAATTAAACTTTAACTTTGCGTGTTATCTACAAAGCAAAAGAGAAATATTATCCATTTTCCTTCTACTTGCAGAAAGTGAAAACTTTATTTTAGTACATAAAAACATTGTATGATAAAGAGCACCAGCGTAATAGGTGTCTCTTATTTTTCTAGTAATAAGTTAATTTATTACGTTGATTTTTTTCTTTAAGAGGATGCAAAGTTTAAATCATTCTTTGCAACAAATGCATGTAGGGATATATGGAAGGATTAAAGCCAGAGAGATTTCATTAATAAACAAAGATAAATGACATCAACTACAAAATTCACTCCTATATAGAGTGCATCAGTAGTGTATTGTCCACATTACTTTTGACCAGTTGATCGGTTTTATTATTTCTTAATTTCCGGCCAATTCCCTAATTTATTGAGACTTGTAACCATTACGGACGACCAAGGCAGAGCCTCTCCAATCAATGGACTATAGAACCGGACACAGATTTTGGGAAGTGCCTTGACGATATTTGAATTCCAGTTTTAATAAGTTTAAACTTTGGCTTCGTCAGTTCATTTATTGCCATGCAAATTCTCTGTTCTCATTTAAAAATCTCTATATATTCATATACTTCTACCCCACATATATATTACAGATTAATATATATAGTTATTATATATATAAATACATGATATGTGCCCTTTTTAGTTTTTGCTTCTAAGTACTTATGTGGCTAGAAGGTAAGCACCTGAAAGCTAAGATTCAACTTCAACCAGCTTTATTGGGAGAAAATTAACCTCAAAACCATTTGACATGCACACACATATATAATTGATCGTAAGAACATATAATATGCCACTTTTGTTTTTCTTCTTTCTCTATCAGATCAGTAATGATTCAGCAAAAGAATCCAACTGCACTTGATCTTCGTTTGTCTTCAGAAGCTGCAGATACTCTTCGTAGAGCTTCTCTAGAGAATTATCATCATCTTCAGTTGCTGGTACATGAGATTGGCAATCGAAATCTGAGCGGTTAACAAAATCATGATCATCATTATAAGCCGCAAGAAAGCCAGTCCCGTTTTCATCATCGTTGATGTATTCTGACCAAGGGACTTGTACAACTTCTGTACCTAAGCCTCCCTCACCTCCTTGGCTAGAAGACACTGTGCTAAATGTATTAGTACATTGGTCAAAGCTGTCATTTCTTGGTAAAGAGAAAGAAGTTGTAACCCTAATTGGTTTTGGGAGATGGATTTTGGGCATTTCTGGCTCATGAACTACTTTTGCTTTGCTGATCTTGTTGTTCTGCTTCTTGTTAATGCTGTTTTTTCTCTTCTTCACTTGTTGAACTATTGGGTCTGATAGTTTCTTGTGGGTGTTAGGGTCAGTTCCTTCGCTTAGAAGTCTTTTGCTAAGATGGGTGTTCCAGTAATTTTTGATCTCGTTATCGGTTCGACCAGGAAGCCTTCCGGCAATGAGAGACCAGCGATTGCCGAGAAGGGAATGTAATCTGATGATAAGATCATCCTCATCCGGAGTTATATTCCCTCTCTTAATATCTGGTCTTAGATAGTTCATCCATCTCAGCCTGCAACTCTTTCCACACCTAAGTAGCCCTGCAAATCAAACAATTAAAAAAAAAAAAAAAACACCTGACAATTGACAACCCCACCCCCCCTCCCCCGACAAAAAAGTTGGCAAGAAAAAGAAAATTCATTTTGTTCTTTTTTCAAAGGAAGTAGTGCCTAAAATGAGTAAATATAAATACCAGCTTTCTTAGGGAGAGATCTCCAGTGACCTTCTCCATGAGCTTGAATGTACTTGATAAGTAATGTGTCTTCTCTAGAAGTCCATGGACCTCTATGCAACCCAACTTTAGAACAACAAGGAGCCCTTCCCATCTCTATTTTTATTTCTTCTTTTGCTTTTACCTACTGATGATCAACCAACTCTCTCTCTCTCTCTCTCAACAATCAAACAAATGAAACAGAGAAAATACGAAAGGCAGAGAAAAAGGATCTCTGTAGTTAGAGAGAGACTGATAGATGCTCTAAGGAGCACGAGTCCCAAAGGCTTTGGCTTACGCCTTTTTAAACCGTTAAAACACTTGAATATTCATATGACTTAATAGTATTTTTTTAAAAAGAAAAATCAATAGTATAATTTGCATTTTTGGCTTTGGTTTGGCCGTTGGTTTGCTACCCTAACATTTATAAATTACGTGACCAAAATTAAATTTTGGATGAATTTTTCACACGTAACTCACCGACCCTTCTCCCCTATCCGCCCTTCTCACTTTTCAATCCTCAATTATGAATTCTCCTCATGCCCAGTTTTTTCCAAACAAGACTATCCCTCCCACTTGATCGCCATCGTCAAATGGCCGCTGATTAATTACAGCCGTCCATCACGTGGAAAGTTTAAGGTCAAAATCTTTCCTTTTCAATTTTCCTTTTTTTTTTAAATATTATTTATTCCTTTTCTCAGTGTTATGACTAACACTAAGCTATAAAATAGAAACTAAACTTAAAACATATATCTCTCCATCACCTTCTGATCAATAGAAACATGATAATCAAGTTTAAGGTCTATAGTAATTTAATGAATGAAGTTCAATGATACTTATAATTTAAATTATTGCTTGTACTTCTTTCCTTTTTCTTTGTTTAATTTCCTTTTTCTTTGTTCAATTTTCTTTTGGTATACACTGTAGTAGCTACTTATCTCTTAGCTGTACCTTTTTCCTTCCTTTTTTATTTTTTTGCTTTTCTTCCATATATAAAATTCCGAAAACTTTGATTCATTATTGAAAAAAGAAAGTTTCCCCATCAAAACAAATAATTAGATCAATATTAATACCAGCTATGCACTTCAGTAGACCATTGGATAGGATACAGCTATCAATCAGAAACACATTGTTGAAATGGAAATCAATTAATGGAATTAGCCATTGAGGAAAATTTTGGGACCCTTTGTTAATTAAGGGTTTAAGCTTAGATTTAAGGAAGCTATTTTTAATTAATAAATCCACTCAATTTACTAAATATATATAGGATAGCCAGTGGTGCATTAACCCATTATTAACCATTGCAATTGAAGGACCTTATGATCACTTATAGACATACGAGTCAACCATCATTGTCAAGCCTATTTTGGTTTCTTTTTTTGAAAAAAAAATATAAATATCCTACCATAATTAATTTAATTATTTGAAATTATTAATTAAGAGGTAGGAAGGTGAGGAGGGTAAAGAATAAGGGATATTCACCATACTATGACCACAGACCAATTCACCCGGGAATAGTTGGCGTACTGGCGATTTTTTTTTATTTTATAATAGGAATTCAAATTTAAAATTTTTAATTTTAAAAATAATAGTTTCTGGACTGCTGTCAATGTATAAATAATAAATTAACTCATATATAATTATATAGCATAAATTGATAAGACCTTTTTAATTTCAAATATCAAAACTTTATTAAAGTGAGGGATTAGTTATAAACCTTCAAAATCATGTTTTGTCTTTGACAAAAAAAAAAAAAATCCATTGATGGGAATTTTTTTTAAAATATGCATGGGAATTAGGATGGAAGAATCACAATTCCCAACAATTCCCTATTGAGCAGACCTTGATTCCGTGACTTTGCCGCAGAGGTAACCGCAGAGTGCTGCAAACCACTAGATTAAAAAAAGGCACCAAGCCTATGCTTGTGCGGTGTTTTTTTTTTTTTAATTGATGGCAGAAATGGTGTTACTATTTCGAGAAGTGAAATATCAATTATCTAAGAATAATTATCATTTTGATCACCTTGATAATTTAGATTATTTCCTTTCTTGACGAGGATTTTTTTCCAGATTTTAAACCTTTATCTTTAATAAATAAAATCTGCTTAAAGTCAGATTATTTATCACTAAATCAACACTTCCATATTCATGCATGTGGGGTTTTGCTGATTAGAAGTGGCTCCTTTTGCCTGGGTGACCACAGCAAAATCAAATTCTAGCACATTCCTGGTCGTCTTGAGATTGGGGTTTCCTTTTTTTTTTTAATTTATCTGCATGTAAAAAATTGGGCATTAATGTCAACTGGTCCTTGTTTGTTGCAGTTGTAACTGCTAGTCAAGCAAACAAAGGGAGGCACACAAACCAATAACCAATGGCCAAAATGCTTGCTTGCTTCCAGTCGACCAAGTTTGTATATAATAATCGAAATTCACGTGATAGAGATCGATCTAAGATCGAATTTGTGAATACTTTGTAAAATTAAAGCAAAGAAAATTAAAATAAAAGTAGTAGGGTACATTATATCACTCACCCTGACCCTTGCAAAAAGGTTGATCACCACTGGCACTCATTTTATTCATTGTTGGAATTTGTTTTTCATCAAAGCTAGCAGGGAAACCATATTCCGAGTTACCCAATTTATCATTTTATCTACTACCAATAATTCGAGTGAAAATAACTAAGTTTTATCTTACCTCAAAGAGTGTAAAATTTCTTGCGTAACTGGTTCGATTCAAAAAGGCTATCAGAATTTGTGAGCACTAGAGTTTTGGAACCGAATTCGAGCATGGTTGGCCATTTAAAAGATTTTTTTATTAATTTCAAAATATTTCATTTAATCAGGTAACCCGTCTCAGTTCCAATGTTTTCATTAATTCGCCTAATAAATAATTATCAACAAATATGATTAACTCATTACTCCCAACTCCCCCATTATGGTAATCTACATTTAAATCACACACCTAAGCACTAAAGCTCCAACTTGCGGATCCAAGAAAAGACTAGGGGCTGGGCAGATGTGAAGTAGGAAGTTCCAAAAATCTTGGACACTGTAAAATTCTTCTGACCAACAAAAAGACAACAAGACATAAAAGTAAATAAAAACGCTCTAGACTTGATTATTATTGAATTATTATGTCTACGAAAAAAGATTCTTCCAATCAAAACTCACTTGTGTCCACATTCAAGAAGGGAAATAATAGATGAGTTATGATGTTTCCCGATTCTGCTTGTTTCCTTGATGACACATTAATTTCTATATATGAAAGGCAAAAGTTGAAAGAGTTTGTTTTGGCTTCATTTAAACGGTAATCATAGGTCTCTTTCTCGGCAAATGAAACAACGGTAGTGGCATTAGAAGTAGAGTAAACCCAGCCGAAGGCCATGGAATTAACGCCATTGTCCGCCCTGAAAATGCACCAGAAAAAAAAAAAAAGGTTGCTACTAGTTTCCTTCTGTTACCCGTTTTGCGGGTAAAAGAAACGGGTACTCCCACTTTTAATAATTTTACTTTCACTTCCAAGAAACACACCCAAGAAAAAAACAATGATTACCACTTGTCTGGCAAAAAAATGTATTTGGATTTTTGCATATTAAAGCATTTGTAAATAGTACTACTAAAAAATATCACCGTTGTGGTACCATTTAATACATCTTCGTTTCCCTCCTTTTTCTTCGAACATTGACGGTATTATATTTGTTGTACATTTTAATGATTGAGATTTGTCATCCTTGTACAGAACCCACAACCGATTCTGATTTATGAGTAGTGGGGCACAACCCACCGCAGACTTTCGTTTAAGGCAGCAGCAGGACTACCTCCTAGCCCTCTTGCAGTTCAAGAAGATTGGTTCTTATATCCTAATCAATTCCTCTCCGACTCATATCATCAAGTAATGGGGCAATCATGCATAGATAAATCCAACTTTTTTCGAATGACAGCTGGTGCTCATGTCATCTATATAGCGCGTGTGTGTGTGTTTATAGGTATGCAAAATTAGTAGTTTTTTCAGTTAGGAAAACTGTGTCCAAAACAACCTCTAACAAAAACAAAAGGGGAAAATGTTGATACGGTTTTGGCCTTGCAAAATCTAAATCTTATTTTGTAGCAAAGGTTAAAGTGAAACCATTCATCAAAACTTCAAAAAGTACATTCGCCATTCAAATTTAATGCATTTACATATATGTACAAATTCTGGCAGCCGAGTAAAGTAACTCAACCTAAAACAGTGTAACTCTTTTTTTTCTTTTCACAAAAGTATATTACACTTGCAATGATACATTTTATCCTCCACCCCCCCCCCCTCCCAAAAAAAAAAGACATCAAATCCTTTTTTGCAAATTTTTCTTTTCCATAATCAACCCTCGCAATTGGCTCCAAGGGTAATAAAAAATTAAATAAAAAGCTTCTGAATTGATTAATTATGGCTGCTGAATACTTACCTGCATCACAAGGGGTTGAGGCTAACAAGCCAATGTTTTGCAGACCAAATACCTCTCCCTAGGCTGAAGACAGAAGACTTGGCTTGGCTTAGTGGCACTAGACCACAATCCAAGTGTAGCATATCACTCCAATGTGGAAATAGACGTACCAGTCATTTGACAATGACCCCATCCTATTAAGAGAATGCAAGCAGCCATCAGAATGGTCCAAAATCTGTTAATGCACCACAATGGCCAATTATTCAATCACCCAACAAATCATGAAAGGAAACAAGCCCCACTAATTTTTTCAGAAATAACTCCTGGCCACCAGCTATAATTCTCTTCCTTGTGTACTCTAAAACATGAGTCTTCCAAAAGACCCCACCAAAACATCTCCAGTTGTACAGCAATATACAAAACCTCATATGGGACTTCTTGGCATGAACCTGTAATTTGGGTTTTCACTTTAACAAATTAAAGAATAATATTGTTAAACTGGACATCTGATCCACTTAAATCCAACCCGCCATTTCTTCACATCCGGCTCAACAAAAGTACAAGAAAGAATATTGACTACAATTAAGATTTTATTCCATGGTAACAGACCCGACAACCCTGGTTGGCCAGCAAAAAGAAAAGGATTGCATTGACGTCAGATCCAGTGCTCATGCAAATGCATGTCTGTTCAACACCACGTCCTGATATAGCTTTGGGTGTAGCTTAAGCCAAGTTATACACATATGGGAATCAACCTAGCGTCAATCATTTTAGCCCCAAATCTGGATGCCAAAAGCTTCAATGTGTGTAATGTAATTCTTGTTTTGCCAAAATCAAACAGCAAAATTTTGGAGTCATTTCAATAAAGCTAAAGGTTGATTGGTAATCCGTAATTTTGGAATGATCTGATCCGTCCATCCCAGCCGGCAGTTATAATAACGAGGCCCCATGCATGAGAAGATCCAAATGCACTATGAGAAGATGTCTTAAGCAACTTGTACTGAGACTTACACATTGCAGAAGATACAACCAAGGAGTTTGGAGGGGGGAGCTTTTCCTCTGGCCAGGTTGCAGTACCCTTGGGCAAAGATTCTGAGAAAAATTCATGGCCCAGCGAGAAACGTTCAGATGAGGAGAATGGCAATTGGTGTTGAGAGCTCTCACCTAACTCAGATTGCAATACCCCACACCTCCATGTGCTATAAGAAACTTTGGGTGATGATGAAGTTTCCGACATTTTTGAGAAAATAGGGTTTCTAGAATTCATCCCACACCAAGGTATAGCAACTGATGCGTTATTTGAGAAAAAACGTTCACAAGACCAATTGTTCTTTGGTTGGGGCACCGGCCCATCCTGCCTAACATAGTTCCACACATATACATTAGAATCCTCACTTGCTGATACAATCCGCATTCCATCTGAGGTGAATGATGCAGATATCTGGCTCCCTGCGTTCCGCAGGCCTGTAGATAGAGAAAGACAATGTAAGGGTAATAACAGAGTTACCTAGCAGAGAGATTAAAGCAAATAACAGGGTGTTGAGGCTTAAAGAGTAAGCTAAGTGAAGTTGGCTTCCACTCTACCCTGTTCATGAGGTTATTATGAAGAACAGAGTTTCAAAGTGAACCTAAACACCGAAATTTTACCTAACAAATTTCCTCAAATCTGGGAGACTTGAGACTAGAATATTCAAAATTTGTTATCTTTGATGATGTCCATTTTTGTTCTTCAAAATATAATTTAGCAATAGTTTTAAATCAGGATACAATGGTAATAAAAACTACAACCTTAGCTCCTCTCTTTTTTCCAAATAGAACCATTACTACTCTATCTCAATCCATTTACTCCAGTCTCCTTTCCCTTCAGATCCCCCCCACCCCTAAAAAAAAAGAAAAAAGAAACTCTTAAGATAATAAAAATATCAAGAAAAATTTCTTGGAAGAGATTATAAATTTTGCGCTTCAAACTTTGATCAACATTTGCCATATCTCCTTGTTGCATCACTTACTTTCCATCTCAACGCATCATTACCATGTATCCAATTAATTAAGAAGCTACCAAAGTGGCAGCTAACTTTGGATCTGATATAAATAAATCACGCAAACACCTACCTCGAAATTTGCATACCACGTCAACGCCATGGAGGATTCGAACTTGTGAATCAGCAGAAGTGACCATCAATTTATCTGGTTCCCCAGGTGAAAACTACAAGATAATCCCTCTATTAACTTTCAAATGCTTGAAAGCTTCCCTGAGGACATTGAAATTTGAAAAACAAATGGCAATGGTCAATACCTGGAATCCAGTTATCCTACAGCATGGTGATTTCTTCTTACTCTGCAAACATATTTGGGCATTAAGTTGCAGATGGTTATCTGATTCATGTAAACAAACAGTTAGTCTTTTCCAAACAAGTTAACCTTCAAAGAGGCATCTATTATAGATTTACTAGAGAACATTTGGAGTTTGGACAATAATAATGTAAATGTAAATCACCTATCAACACTAATGGTGCCAATTATAAGTACAAAAAAATTCAGCTTCCATAAATTGGAAGCCACCAATATGAAACAACAAGGCCTCCTGAAAAGACAGAGAATGAATTTGAAAAGGGAAGTTCTCCAACATTCCCCTTCAAATTGCAAAAGTATATTCCAATTTATTAATTAACAAATTTTTTCTGCCACAATCTTAGAAGAGTGTTAATTCATCCATCAAAAATAAAACCAAGTTTAATTAGCAAACAGCAGACAATCTTTTCCTTTCCTCTTGACCATTGTGGGCCCTCTAAACTTGTAAGATTTCTAGATACAGATAGTTTTGTTTGACACAAAGAGATAGATAATCAAAGTTATTAACTTCTTACAGCCAAGCAATATTCTGATTGATATCCTCACAACATTCTATTTCAATGTATTGAAAATGGTCAAATTTAAGAAGAATATGACAATAGTCCAAGCAACTGCTAAACAAAGAGTAAGAGTTGCCATATCTTAGAATAGCATTACCTGAAATGTTGTTGAACAATAAACAAATTTTCATAAAAGGAACCAGGAAAATAAAGATATACCTGAAGCATCATAAAAGCGGCAACTGCCAGTCATTGACCCAATAATTGCACCCTGTAGAAAAAAAAGGTATTAATGAACTAAAAATCCTAAAACTCAATTGCCAAATAAAATGGTTAAGAAAAGCTCCTTGAACCTTTCCATCAGGACGATAACACACAGCTGTAACAATATCAGTCACGTCAGTCCAATCAACAACTTGACAATCATGAATTGTCCAGATGCGCACTTTCCCATCTATGGAACCACTTATGAAGTAATCATCATCCACAGGATTAAACTGAACACATGTTACTGTATCACAGAGCAATAAGAACATCGAACAATTATAATGGTACAAATCAAACTCCCCGAGGTGATTGCCCACCTTAGTTATTTTTATAATCAATAGTAATTTCTATAACCAATAATAAGATATAATAAAACTCAAGCCTGGATTGAACTATAGTACCATAATTATTGTGGGAAAAAACTTTTTGGCATTCATCATATCCAACTTGCCACAAGCGAACTGTCTTATCAACAGAAGATGATAGAATATGCTGCAATGCATAAATCTTAATTACAAACCCAAATAATTTCTAGCAAATCATAACAAGTTGTTTCAGAATTCAGAGCAATTACTAACCTTATTCTTTGACCATGAGAGGTCCAGGACCTCGCCACAATGCCCACGGAACTCATGGATAGGCTTATCCAAAATTCTAAAAACTTTCTGAGGGAAAATGACACAAGTCGAATCTGAACTCTTTTTCACACTATTCGATTTTCCTTTTTTATCTTTGTCTGCGTGAAGAGGAACTAATTCAGAAAAGTTGTTTACTGTGAAGTAGAAATATGAAGGATTGACATCATGAATGTCAGAATTCCCTGATCTTTCAGACTCCACAACTTGCCACACACGCACGATACCATCTTCACCTGCACTTGCAAGATATTGACCATCAGGGCTAAATTTCATTGTTAAGATTGACCCCTCATGGGCTTGGATGTCTTGTCCCATGTAAAGAGCTGAGAACTCCTTCAACCGCTTCTTGTAAGATCTAACGCGAACCATTTGAATCCTAGTCTCTGCATATGGATAACAATCATTGGATATCATATGAGTAGCATCAACCTGCCTATTAACAATGCAAGCAACAGCTCCTAATCGCCTAAGCCACCCTCTTTTTCCCCGCTTTCTTTCTGGCCCTAAACTGGAAACCTCTTTGACTTCCCGACGCATTGCTTGTTGAACTAGAGGGTATAAGCCAAGCTTCCTTTCAAACTCATCAATGGTAAGCAAATGATTAGAACCTACTTCTCTCAGACTCCTGAACATGCCATCCTGACTAAGTTCATCCACAATGAACTCTGTCCCATCATCCAAATTTTTAATCCTACACACAAAATTATCATCCAATGCCCCATCTAACAACTCCCTGGCATCACTTGACCAACAAGACATGGAAGACTGACTTGATGAAAAACCATCATCAAAACTTGATGATCCTAAGACTGCTCCACTCTTCTCCATAATTCTATCAGTCTCCACTTCAATTTCATCACAACATATGTTAGAGGGACCTTCCCTGACAGTCTGATCTACACTTAAACCCATCCATTTAAGAAATTTATCCCGCCGTTCACGAATGCTACTGAGGTTTTTAATCCAAACTTCAAATCCAAAGTTAGCTGGCACTGAATTAATGGGCGGGGCATACTCAAAATCAGAATTCTCGGGGCAATCAGATCCTGAATCAGATACAGAGATGATATCTTCACGGGTGTCAAAAAATTGATCTTCCTCTTCACTTAAACTCCCCATCATTAACTCATCAGTTCAACCCATGAAAACTCACTCTCCCACCTAAATTGTCTTCTCACAAAAACCCTAGGCAATGTTCTAAATTCCCTACAAGGATAACATAGGAAACAAAACATCAAAAACCCCCACAAAAAAATATATATATATATATTCATTTCATTTTTAGAACTATAAAACTAATACCTAGAACCCCAGATCCCAATTAAAACCCACTAAAACTAATAAGATAATATAAAGAGGAACAGCTTTAAACCAAAACTCAAGTCTGAAAACAATTGTTAACAAACAGATCAGTGCAAAGTGAAATACAGCAATTGAGAGGAGACATTAGAATGATTGGAAAAAAAAAAGTAAATGATAATAACTAACTACGAATGAATAGATAAATAAGATGGTTTTTTTTTTCTTTTATATAAAAAAAAAAAGTAGAATAAAATAAAGAAAAGAGAATGAAACAAAAAAGTTATTTAGTGGGTAGGGTTTGGGCACCTGGGATTTTTGATGAAAAGTCCGTCAAGCCCAAGATAACGCTTATTCATATCTCATCATCACCTTGACACCCTCCACCATTTGGATTTCCGGTTCCTTCTCTCTCTTTTCTATGGAGAGAGCAAACGAAAGTGTCCTCTACAAAAATAAATGGAAAGTAGTCAAGTAAAAAAGGGGGGAAAGAAATAAAAAGAAAATCTGGAGAGGAGTGAAACCTGGTGGACCGTGGCCCGAGAAACGAGATTTGAAGAGGCGAGCAGTGTTGCCGTGCTGGGCTGCCCTGCTCTGCTCGTACTATTTCCACTGCTGACTGGCCTTTGCTTTTTTACTCTTTTAATTGCAATTAACCAATCAACTTTATCAGCCTTTGTTTTTGAGCTCTTCCCTTTTTTTTTTTTTCCCTTTTAAGTTGAATACGAAGAACATGCACGTGTGGCATTGCTGCAATAAATGGTTTTGCTTTTAAAGTAATGAACTGAACTAAAGTCATTAGGGATTTATTGGGGGAATATTAATTTAAGTTTGTTTCTTACTATTACTTAAATGGTTTTTTTCCTTTGGTTTTAATGTGAATTTAAGTTGTCTTTCATATTATCATATGTTTTGATTTGTTTTATTTTATATTTACCTGATTAATGATTTAAATTTCTTTTAAACTTTTTTTATTTGGAAGAAAATTTTAGTTAAATTTTGCACTATATGTCCCATCTTAAAATTAACTAAATTTTAATCAGATGAGTTTTTTTATAAAAAAAATTATGATCTAAGGATAAAAAAATATTTTAAATATTAAAAATTAAAATCTAAATTTATTAAAAATATTACCTTAAAGGTAATTATATAAAATAATTGATTTTTTTTTTTTTAGAATCAGAAGAAGTAGCAAAAATGGTTTTTTAGAGAATGTGGCGGGGCGGGGCGGGGCGGGGTAGGACAGATGGTAGGGCATTGATGTAGCAAGGCATGCAGTTTACAATTTGAAAGACGGAAGATTTGGAGGAGAGTGAAGAGTTGGTTCGATTCAATGTAAAAACAGCTGTGACAAAGGTCTAGGCTGGAAGTTTGGCCTCTGGATTTTCGACAGTGATGAGATCAGGCGGCTGTGTGTTTTGTCTGTTCTTGTTGGTACTTTCTTTGTACTTTATACACTATATCTCTATGGCCTTTGTGAATTTACCCAACCATGCAAATTTGTGCATTTATGGATTCAAATGAGAAATTACATTTAAGAACTTAATCAGTATGATTGTAATATAAACATACATTTCATTTAATTGTGAAAGGTTTTCAAAAAATTTGAATTTTCTTCTTTTCAAAGTATACCAATACCATTCCTGGTTGCAATTTGATGTAGTATTAAATTTCTTGTTCCAAGAAAAGGGATGGCTTTGACAATTGGCATTCTCAAGTGAAGGAGCACACGGCTTTCAATTGTCAAAGCCTATTGATCAAGCACGTATTGCTATCATCGTTTGAAGGTATATGTTATATACCTTTCTAGCTTATATAGTACTCCAGCGTGCGTGGTTCCCCTAATTCGATCAAGATATTTGCTCTATAATTAATCCATTTTGCTAAAAATAAGGCAAAGTAATCTATGATTTTATTTATTTTTTTTTTATGTCATCGGTATTTTTAATTTCAATGTTAAATCAAAATCGAATCTAAATCCAAAAATAAGCAATCCGGCTATTACCATATGACAAGCCTCTAACCTATACTCATAATTGATAATAAATATAGATTAATGCGAGCTTATCCAAACCAATTAAAGGAATAAAAGCACACCTTTTTGTCACAAATCAGTTATCAAATTTGATGTTGAGTTTGTCACCATCTAGATTCAGTTAATTAGTTAAAGAAACCCAAAAGCGAGATGCCTGGATGCCCAACAGATTAATTTTCTAATGTAGGAAATTAATTTCAGGCATGCATCTGTCTGCTGTTGAAGCAACAATTAACCCCAGTTTCAAGCCCTCACAAAAACTTTATAAAGTACCAGACTATAGACCAAGAAATTATTCTTGAACGAGCCTCATAATGTTGTGTCTTAATAAACAGACCACATTCTTTACTTTCCTTATAGTTTGCAAGTTTGCAAGCGGAGCTATGGGGGAAAGCAAACAGTAAAATATCTATGATCGATCAAATCTTAATGGTGGGTTTAAGAAAAAAAATTCAAGAGTGGGGACAATAATAATTATACGATCGCTGTTTGAGGGTTTGTTTTTCTTTCACAACATCTAGCCTCTAGGCATATATAGATGCCTACGCAATTAATTTAACTAGCTAGCTCAAATTAATGGTAGTAATTAAGAGAAAAAAGGCAGCAGAATGTTGCTTTTGGGTGCTACAGTGAATACAAGGACTTTGATGTGGCTCGATTTAACATGTAAATAGAGAAGAAAATGATGGAATAACGGCAAACAAGCCAGGCCAAGCTTTGCGCAATGAGCAGTTCTACTTCTTTAGTCATTACAACAGGGCAAGGCTTATTGGATTTTTTTGAAATTTTGATTGGAAGGTTGCTATGGCATTAGAAGATAAGTTTTATGAATAGATTCTGGACTCCTGATCACGTTATTGTACATGATTATTTTCATTTTTATCTCTATAAAATGTCAATTAAGCTCAAACCCACACCTTTTTCCTTAAATGAGTTAATTGATTTCAAGCTTATTTATAAATTTAATTCAAAATATTGTTTATTCACCACAAATTATTGAAGATTTCAAAGTAAATTGAGGTCCAATGATCAAGACTATTTGCTAAATGGTACACTAGTTAAAAGAATAAATTATTTTAATTGTTGAAATTTGAGAAAGATTTTGACAATTAGTCATTTAAAAAGTAAACAATAAAATTTTCTCTAAAAAGAAAAGAAAAAATTATTCCTACTATAGGTAAAGAAAAACAAACATGATTTATTGCTTACCGGGACAATATCAAAATCATTTTTATGATTAAAAAAAAAATCTTTAAGTCATAATGGTATGCACAATCCTTCAAGTCATTATTTTGAGTTCAAACTGACCTTATTTTCCTACCTAAACAATTTGAATATTATTATAATTATAACTTGGTCATGTCCACATTTTATATACATTTTCAGCTTCTTGTTTCAAAAAAATAAAGTACTAATTTATGTATGTTTGCCGTTTGACTTGACTCGCCCCTCCCACACTGTCACCTAATTATTTGATGATCCCTAATAAATTGGAATATAAATTATTTTCCATGCGGCCCATGCCAAACCCCACTTCGACACAATAATCTTCCTACTGCCCTCCTAATTTGAAAATGATTTTTTAAAATTGAACATACTTTATTTCCCATAATTCTGCTATAATATGTCAGTTCAGCATGTTCCTTTACACTCATTAAAAGACAACAAAAGCATCAAAGTGGCCAAAGATATTTGTTTACGCTTAAAACTATGCCCCAACACAAACTCTTTGAATTTGAAACTCGACAATTCCAGATGCTTTGAGAAGAAGAAAAAGAAGAAGAGCGGAGTTGGTGTGACCCTTCATTATAGACGCATAGTTCTTTATGCGAATTGGGTGCCTTTAGATTTTCTTCTTAGCCATAAAATTATGCCGCCCAATTAAATTATCAGAGTTATCCAATCTTTGTGGCTGTGAGTTATGAATTACTAATTTAACCAATTCCCTTCCTCATTTTATTCTTTTTCCCTTCTCTTTTCATTTACACAGTGTCTCACGTCTAATCAACCCAAAGCATTCAACTGTTCGACCCCCTTTTTTCTCCATTAAATTAAGAAGAAAAAGTATGTATTATAGACTATTATTACCTGAGAACTGTTGCATTTGTAATGCGTGGAACTACGGACCACATATTAAAAGGTGATGTGGTCATGTGGAACCAAACATGGGAGAAACTTTTGCTTTTCTAGAATTATTTTAGCTTCCAACAAGTAGTTATACTACCCTACATATCCTTTTCGATGACGTATTATTGCGCAATTTTGGGTTGGGGAAGGGTCAAACTCATGTCATCCACTTAAATTGAAAAGCATGAATAATATCATGGTTAGTAGAAGTAGTTAGTACAAAAGATAATGATTTTTATTTTCATTATTTGATGTGTTTGTACAAAGATAATGATTGTGTTTGAGGGTTGCAACATAGTGAACTGTAGTACTTTGATATTATCTCGAAATGATGTCAATGAAAGTCATGGAATCATCGCTAAGAATGCTCAGAAATTTGTAGTATCAGACACCATTTGGCAAAGCAATTCCGGACCATTTCTCCATGGGAAGATAATGGGACAAAATTTGGGATGCAATGAAATGACTAGGAATCTATCATCGAGAAACTAATGTATTTGATTTTGTTTTTGTTTTTTTTTTTTTTTAAATCTATTTTGCCAAGTATATATGAGATTGATATGCGTGATCTTGAAGAAGAGTTTATCTCTATATCCTAGAGTCTAGTGTTCACCGACATGATCTTGAGAGATCAGCTAGCATAGCGCACCTCCAAAGGTACGTGCGGACAAAATTCTTTGAACCTCAATGTTCTTTTTATCCTAAAACATGATCAGCCGAATATTACTAGCATGTAGCAATAGAAACTTGAATTGTTATCAGCATGCATTGCATGCGGCAATGAAGCCAACAGAGATACTTCCGGCCAGAATGAGTGGACCAAGTCATGTTAGCTCCACCGTCGAAGAAGTTACAATGAACTGACCTCTCGACATGGCTGGCCAAAGATAATAATGAAGATGTGACTATACATCAATACAATTTGTTATAGCATTATCTTATTATTTGGGAAACGAAAAGAGAATTTAAGGAACGGTATACAGTTGGTGAACTGACGACGGGTTTCTATAAAATGCCAAATTATGGAAATTAACAAGATTTCGCTTTGTATAAGATGCGCCACGGCATGCCGGGCCAGAGAGCAAGGCCTAGTGCCTTTCAAAATTCATCGTCTTAGCTGCATTTGCTGATCTGCCCAGTTACGCAGAAATGTGTACCGGACAAAAGCTTGAGTAGTTGATCATCTCCGAATTATGGGAGAGAGAAGAGGAGGAATAAATTAGGCCAGAACAATCACATTTTCAGAATGTTTTTTGGCAGAGCAGCCAACCACCAAAATAACTTCAACGCTTGTTGGCTGTTGCTTTGCTCAATTAAATCTCAAACTTCATATTTTTAAACCATTGCATTCTAACATGAAACTTAGATGATTCTGTTCACATTTTGCTAAAATTTGGAACTATAAACTCATCATGGCCATGACAGATTTAGGTTGTTAACGAGGCAAATATATAGCTGAACTTCATTTTCGGTTGGAGTCCATTAATCATTTTTTTTCCTTTGTTTCAGCTGAAAGACAAATATTGGGTCAAGAGAAATGGAATAATACAGAGACAAGGCTACAAGCCATGGCTAGCCTCAACACCATATCCTAATAACTGCTTAACGCAGAAAACTACAGAAAAATAAATCCAATTGGCAAAACCATACAAAAACATAAGGGTGCTTTCACAAATGCGATTTTCTTGCAAAAAGTAGCGCTGAAGCCTTAAGATGAATGTGATGTGGACAATTGAAATGAACTCTTGAAAAAACTCTCTTGCTTCTGTCCAAAATTTATAGATCCGATCCGATCCACTCTTCACTGATCATGATCAATTAAAAGGCTTTTTGGGTTACTGATTGAAACAAAACATCATCACGTGGCTCATCTGCTTTTCCGATTACATTAACATTGCATTTGTTCCCCTTTAACAACATCTATATATCGATATTGATAGTCTGTGGTCCATATTCTTATTATTATCAGAATCATTACATACATATTTTATGAATGTTGATATGTAAAATTTACTTTCACACATGATTTGCTATCAATTAGTTCACATAAATCTTTTGTTTATCATGGAAGGGACTGGCAACGCTCAAACCTGACACGGCCCAAATAGAAAGTTATATGACCAAGGCCTGATTGGTTTCAGGGCTTCAGGCTTAAGTCTTTGAAAAGGATATGGATTATGGAGTGACATGTTTCGAGTCCAACCAAAATGAAAAAGATCGTTGAATTGGACCAAAAATTTAATGGCTCTATTTTCTTGTCCAAACTTCATATATTATTATAAGCCTATTTAGGTTGTTCTATCACCTTATTATATTATTATGAAGTGCAGATTTACATTTTAAATTCATGTCGTCCAAATAAAAAAAATCTGACCTAGGACATGCAAATTTATACACCTTTTTTCAAATTAGAATTGGTACTATAATGAGTGGTTTTTTTCTTTCTCTTACTCATTCTTTTTTGAGTTTTTTGTCTGGGGTCTGCCATCATATTGGTGCGGCCTTTCATCGGAATTGGGCCCCCAATACCTCCCTGGCAAAATCATTACCCAAGAAAAGACAGTGTCCCAGTGAATTTTTGGTCGAGAGCCCAGGCAGTAGAATCTAAAAAGCTCGAGCTAGTTGGGAAGTTCTGCAAGTTTTGTGCTTCAACCACTATCGACCAACCCTGGAAACAGTGAAGCTGAAACAGGGCCTTCAGAGTTTTCTCCAGGGAAGAAAATCATGTGAAAGACAAGGAACAAATGCAGAGCAGATTAAAATGAAAGAAGGAAAAGGGGGCCAATGACGTATGGAGCACCTGCAGATCCATTTGTTACACGTTAAAATCATACAAATGAAGCCGTCAATCAACCTTAAACCTGTCGCTGAGAATAAATTTTATTAATAGCTTAGCCCACCAAACGTCCGTGCTTTGGAACACCTACTTTCCAGTTTCCATTTCCTGTTCTTCTATTGTCATGGAAACTAGAAAGTGCGCTTTACCTATTGATTGTTTGTTGGATCGTACACACAAATTTATCTTTCTAGGAGACATAAAAAGGTTTCTTTATAATAATTGTGTAGAAAGAACACTTTTTCCGCTGCAATTGAATGATGTTCATCATTTTGTTCTTAGAAAAAATTAAAATGAGATAAAGTTTTGGCTAAAAATTGAAATTCAAAGACAAAGATTTGGCTTTGGGAGGTGAAATCAGAATTTGATCATTAAAGATAATCCAAACATTTCCATAAGTTGACACCTGTAAAAATTTTGAGTTTAACTGATAAATTCAAGTGTTTATTAAGTTATATTCCTGACTTACTCTTTCATTTATAAGCATTTTCATGTATACAACTTCGTGATTAACTGAGTCAAATGTTCTGTTGTTTTGAACTTAATTCGATCCAATTGACCTACATTTACAGATGAAAAATAAGATCTATTAGTTATAAAAAATTATAAAGATACAAATCAAATCATCAACCTTTCAACAATTAATACTCATAAGATACTCTCAATTTTCTCTAATCCTATGAAGTATTCTCAATCTAAACAAATATATATCCATGTATACCCTTTCAACATAACTAAACATATACTCATATATACCTATACATCATACTTATATGAATTATCTCAATTCCTCTAATCCACTCTCAAATATTCAAACATATGCATTCATAAGACATAAATTCTCAGTACTCCTATGAGGTGTCTATCTTACAAAATCCTACAACTCTCTTACTTTTTTTTCTCATAATTAACCTTATAAAGACTTTACATATTTACAACTATACAAACTTTCCTATTAAGAATCCATTTTTTTTTAGAATTTTTTTTTTGCAAGTCAAACTTGTCTTTTAAGAATTTATTTTCTTTTAAAATTATTCTTCTGCAAGTATTCTTATTTATCAAGTAATATCTAACCAATCTCAAACAAATCTATTATAGGATTTGAGTCATAATTCATAACAATCTTCATATTGACTCAAATTCCATCAAACATCTATTTTCATGCTAAACATGCTTAGCTCAACTTGTAATGAAAGTCTCACAATCATCTTCTTTGAACTCAAACTTCTTTATTGAATCAAGCTTTTTTGGGCTTGCCTATTTTTCCCATGGTTCGAATAATTAGCTTTTTTTACGTCTTGAACATTCAGCTTTGACACTATTTGTTAGGGATCACTATAACTTTGATACTACTTGTTAGGTAAAAAATCTCAATCTAATTTACATCAGCGGAAGCATAATCAAATAATCAATGAAACAATTAAATAATCACATAAAAGACAATAATTTTAACGTGATTCGATCAAATTGACCTGCGTCAACGGATAAGAAATAAAATTCACTAGTTATAAGACATTCTCAATCTACTCTAATCCTATGAAATATTATCAACTCAAAAAAATACATACACATGTGTACTATTTTAATACAATCAAATACATACCCATATGCACCTATATATCATATCTATATGAACCTTCTCAGTCTCTTCTAATTCACTCTCAAACATTCAAACATACACACCCATAAGACATAAATCTCCAATACTAATGTTTATCCCACAAAATCTTACAACTCTCTTATATATTTTTTTCATGCCTAACCCTATAGAGATTTCATCTATTTATAATTATACAAATTTATCTATTAAGAAACTCTTTTCTCTTAAATTTTTTTTTTAAAGTCAAACTTAACTTTTAAATTTTATTTTTCTCTTAGAATTCTTATTTTGTAAGTCTTATTGTCTATCAAGTAATATCTAACTAATTTCAAATAAATTTATTATAAAATTTGAATTATTATTTTTAACACTAATTTCATTCATGAACCAATAAATTCATCATTTTTACTGAATTATCTTACTCTTTTTCATTAAGTATTATATAAATTGACAAGCTTGACGTGTTTTGTGAATAATTTAATTTGTTTTATGCACGTCTCATACAAGAAAATGATTATTATTTCTTGTTAATTACACACAATAATCTTTTGATAGTGGTGTCAAGTCATAACGATGTTATGCTACAACGAATGAACGAAGAAAATGCAAGGGGGTTTCCAAGTTCCTTTGTGAGCGTGTGATTGTCAGTTGTAACCAAACTAGAACAGGCACTGAGATTCTGAGTCCTTGGGTGTTTCGAAGAATTTGAACTCAAATGTCTCACCATCACGAAAAAGAGCACCCATGATCAAACAAAGAAATTAAATATTACTACAGCAACAAAATATTTTAATTTTCCATCCTATATCGCATTTTATGGGTCCCAAATTTCCCTTTGTCGGTTCCTGTCGGCTCCCTCCATCAACATTCACTTCTATTCTTTACACACTTTTTTTTCTTTTGATCAAGTAAAAGTATTCTCGACTTGGTACCTTTTGTTATGCCATCAATTTTCATTTCTCAAAGTTGTTGAAGGTGGAAGATGGTTACCTTTTGCGTCATTTCAGTTTGGATTTCTTCATGTAAAAATTCTATGTAGTATTGAATTGGAAGGCATAATTCGTCAGCTGAAGATGAAAAAGCAACTTGTAACAGGTATTGTGTACGTAGTTTCGTTTCTTACTTAGCCTGCAGACTGAAATAATTCTGTCCTTGCCAAAACTCTATCAGTACAAAACACAATTGTCAGCAAACATGACATACTTTTATTCTCAAGGAAACTATGACTCATTTCTTTGAAGAAAGAAAGGGTATTTGATCCTTGTAATAACGTACATCTTTCTCTAGTTTGTTGACCAAAAAATGAAATCCTTATTATTTTCCCTTCTTGCTAATTTGATTATGGGAAAAAAAAAATACTTGAGTTCATATCTCCATTTATAAACAGATTAGGAACTACTAAATTCTTGATGGTACTTGAAGTAGAATTCTGACTTCCTTGTAATACATGAAAAACTTTTCATCTTAGTCTAGCAAACTATATATGCTTGATTTCGTCATTCAGAACCCGAAAATGTTCTTGGAAATTTGATTTCTACAGAAAATTTGAAATTTTGTTGATTGATGAACGAATACCATTTTAAGAGTATATTACAAAGAAGAAGAAAAATGGATTTCATAATGAAAAATGAGTGAATCATAGATTACTTTAACTGCAAGCTAACGAAAGGATCTGCTTTATAGGAAATGAAAAAGTAGAAGCAGCGAAGATGATCTTTTTGACAAGTTAACAGTGTGATCAAAATCTTATCTTATTGATAGACCAAACACAGGACAAAACCCAACCTCATGAATGGTCTTTGGAAAAACACTGAAAAGGAGTGACAGGAAGAGGAACAAGAATAAAGACTTTTCCCATTGTCAGGTCAAAAAGGTTAAACCCACCACAGTATACACACTCATGATTCCACCCACATTCAATAAAAAAATATATACAATTAGACATTAGTCTTAAAATAAATTCAAGCAGAATTTCTTCATAATAAAATAAGACCCAAACGGAATTAGTGTTGTAATATTTTATGAGTAGTCAAAACAAACGCACCTCTCTTTTCTTCTTTTTCATCATTCATAAAGTTAAAGCCAACACATAAAGCCAGTCTAAAACATGCTTTCTTGCACTAAAGAGAGCAGCTGCAGACAAACAAAGGAGGTTAATTCTCTTTCTCTCTTTATAGTTATCTCTCTCTCTGAAGTCATCAGTTTGCTTTTCGTTTTCTCCTGATCACTTTTCATCCTCCGAATTAATGGATGCTGCTAAATGGTCGCAGGTAGGTGGATTTGATCCTGATTTCTTTTTTCTCACGATTAAATTGAGCTTTTATTTCTTGGTTTTTCTTTTTGCTTTTTAGAGACTAATAAAAATCAAGTTCCACTGTCTTTTTTTTGAGACAATAAAAGCTATTTTCTTTCTCTTCTGGAGGGTGCAAGTATATCATAGTATGTTGATGATCAGTCCTTTTTGGAGGGTGGAGTTTAATTTTGTTCATGGAACACAAAAGGCTGAACTTTTTTCTTTTTATCTATCTTTTTTTTTTTTTTTTTTTGGTTGTGTGATGGCTGATAAAGAGATGAAAAAAGGTTGTATTTGTTATTATTATTATTATTTTTATTGTTTTTCAATAAAATTTAGCAGGAAAAAAGCCTACCTTGTATTGTGTGTTTGCTTGTTTTCTATCTTTAGTTTCAGGTTAATTTTGGTATTTATGTTATCTCTGATCTTTTGTCTTGCAAGTGAAATGATTGCTCTAGCTCTCTTTTATATATGTCCAGGGTTTTCAGGATATTAATTTGGTGAAGCCCATGGAAGAGATGGTTACCAATACAAGCACAAGGGGGCCGATGTTAGAGAGAAAGACAAGGCCGCCAGAGCAATTGAATTGCCCAAGATGTAACTCTACTAACACCAAGTTCTGTTACTACAACAACTATAGCCTCACTCAGCCAAGATACTTCTGCAAGACATGCAGAAGGTACTGGACTGAAGGTGGGTCTCTCAGGAATGTTCCTGTTGGAGGTGGTTCAAGAAAGAACAAAAGATCTACAATATCAAGCTCGTCATCTTCTTCAGCTTCAGCCAAAGTTCCAGATCTAAACCCAACAAGTTTCTCACAGTTTTCTTCTCAAAACCCTAAGGCCCATAAAGGCCAAGATCTTAACCTGGCTTTCCCAGCTATGCAAGAGAGTCATGGTATATCTCATTATCTACAAGTGCCTAAAATTGAGAGCAACAATGACCGGCGAAACTACTCCTCATCCCCTCTTTCAGCTATGGAACTGCTAAGTACTGGAATTGGATCAAGGGGATTGACTTCTTTCATTCCAGCACCGACACCAGACTCTACTACACTGTACTCATCAACAGGGTTCTCTATGCAAGACTATAAACCAACCCTTAGTTTTTCAGTTGATGGACTCGGAAATAGGGCTGGTATCCACGGTGTTCAAGAGAATGGAGGAAGGCTATTCTTCCCTTTTGGAGAAATGAAACCAATTTCAAGCAGTAGCGAAGTTGATGATCAAAATAAGGGACAAGGCAATTCAGCTGGATATTGGAATAATGGAGTGATAGGAGGAGGATCATGGTAAAGAAAGAAGAAGGAACTGCTTTTTTCTTCCCTATTTTTTTCACTCTTTTCACATGGTTGATTACTTTGTTTAAAGTTGTTTAGAACTAACAGAAAATAGGATACATGATGGTTGTTTTTGCTTTTTATCTCATTCTCTCCTTTGAACAATGTAAAACAGATTGGAACCATTTTGGGTTTGGTTTCAAAAGGCTGTCTTATACATTGCGTGTGGATAGAAGAAAAAGGTGAATTTGTCAGAGCAAATGTGACACTGTATTCACGAATTCTTCTATCAGAAATAGGACTGCTTCTGTCAGTGTTGTATGTGAATCCAAAGAGATGGTTGAAATAATTGATTTCTAGTTGGTAGATTAGGCGAAAGAGAGATACGAGAGGACGGAGGTTTGTACTCAAATTTCATACCATTTAAGACGCTCCATCGTAACATGAATTATAAAGCTAATTATTATTGTTTGTCCTTTACTTAGGTTCAAACGTGTGTGATGGCCTTAAAATTTTTTTTCCTTTTTTCCAAATGGCTGGCGCCTATGGAATTTAATCTAATTTATGACCTTAATTAAAGATTGATGGTGAACCTTATGAACAGGAAACTTTAGTACAATGCCCAATTCGAGTATTATATGGGAACAATAAAGCTAAGCTAGCTAGTCTAGTCTAGTTTATGTTTACTAGTAGCAAATTGTACTTTGAAAAAACTGGTTTACCTGCTCCAACTACAATGCTCACCTAATTTTTTTTTTCGATGCCCACTCAGTTCAATTTAAAGCCGATTTAAGGGCAACTAGTAGCTCTAACGTTATATCCCATTTCCATGAATGACAAGTAGGGAAAGTTTTTTCCGAAGGGATTGGATAAATATGACAAAAGCTACCCCACACTTTGGTACAGAAACATTCCATCCCCATAAGTCAATCCCCATCCACAAAAAAAAACTGACTTTTTTGCGTCTGTGTGTTGTGTTGTATTCTATTGTTGTCTTTATCACATTATCGAAATCTTTGTTCATAAATTGGGTACCTTCCATGGTGTTGTCTGTTTGGCTCCTCTCTATTTATTTTATTTTTCTCGATTGTAAAGAATTGGGTTTGCACCTTGGAATCACGTCTCTTCTACAACCAGATATGATGGAATTCTTATAACTAGAACAGATTGAAAGCAATTGCCACATTTTTTTTTATAGTTGTGGTCATGTCTTTTTACCTCTTCATAAATTATTTAAGCAATAATTTTGTTTTTATAATTAAAACTGACAGAAATTGAATTTGATGATTGAAATAAAAAAAATTTAATCACACTGTTATTTGGAAATTAGTGGCTATGATTAAATCTCATTTTGGATCAAAAGTAAGATCATCGATATCTCCTCTTTACCACTATTAAGCAAAATTAAAGGACCTAGTTTTGTTAGTGGTCCAATCTTTATAAATTTACGAGGATGATAGTGACAGGTAAAGCCGCCTGAATTACATTTAAGATTTTTCAGCTTATATAGCTGACTTATCGGAGAACTCTCGTTTAGAAGGGGAAAAAAAAAAAAACTTACGAAGATATTAGTGAAGTAAGCAGATTTTTTTTTTCTTAAAATAGTCTCTTCCGAAGTTAACTTAAAAACCTGCACCATCATTTACCATATTTTTCTTTTCAATCCTTTAAAAGGAAGTTAGATAAAAAAAATTAAAATCTTATAATTCAAATTATAAAGCCAAAATTTTAGTAAATTAAATTTAAAATTTAATTCAATTAATGTATATAATTATTTTTAATAAATAAAATTTTAAATTTTAAATATCAATATTTATAGTTTTTTTATTATTTTTATATTATTGATTTTTTTATATATAAAAAAAACCCTCAACTACCTTGCTAGTTTTACACGTTGGATATATAATGGAGAGTTAAAGTAGGATAATTAGCGGAAAGAAGAGAAATCTCAATTATTGGCATTTACACATAGATATGACATTTACTTCAGTAGCTTTTAAAGCAGTCTAGTCGCCCGTAGAGTCTAGGGTGTATTTTGATAATTTTTTTTTTTTAAACAACTTCCAAATGAAGATGTATGTTTGTAGGTTTTACTTTTCAATACAACTTGTGATTAGCACAGATTCCAAACAGTAAATTGCATATTCGTTATAATAAAAAAACGTGATTTACAAGACATGAGATCACAAATTAACCTTGAAAGTAGGTTGACGGTTCAATTCAAAATCAACATATTTTGATTTGATTAAATTTTATAAGATTAATTTTTTAAAAAAAATAAATCAAATTTTAGATTAAATTGAATTAAATATTAATAAATAAAAATCAGATTTAAATTAAATTCAAATTTTAATAAAATTTGATTTGATATTATATAAAAATTTATTTTTTAATTATTTATTTTTATATATTTATATATTTATATTTAAAAAATAATATTTTATATTTAAAAAATAATATTTTATTAATTTCAAATTAAATTAAATATAATTTATATAATCTCGACTTCGAATAAAAAAATTAAAAAAATTTTGAATCGAATATAAATTTTATAATTATAAAATCAACTCAAATTCGAAACCAACAAAAATTCACCATGACCCATTATCACCCCACTTTTAAGTAAATCTGCAGAAAAAAAAAAAAAAAAGCATAAAGCTCGCTAAGTCAATCTGTGTCAGAACACAACGGGCGATATTTTTGCTTTCGTCTCTTTTGTTTTGGCTGATATGCCTGTATCTCTAATCCAGGGTGCCTGCAGCCGTAAGGTTTTGTTTCTGGGAACACCTTTAAAGGTGACTGCATTTTCAATCCAATAACAATAATAATAACGTCCTTTTTCATATTAATATATAAAAAGAAATGAAGTCCAGGCCCAGCGGTGGCAAATGAACTCCGGCTTTCCTGTATGTCTGATCAGCTGCCATAAGAGATTCAAAGATATGCAATATCAACAAAATAGAAGTACATAGATATGTGACAAGCAGATAAGAGGATAATGATATTCCACATACATTAAATTTCTCTACTGTACAAAGATAAATACACTCATTATTCATTCATGATCTAAGAGAGCTTGTAAATGTAGTCAGCAAACTTAGCAGAAAAAAACATTACACCTTCAAAATATCCTCCTATACAAAGGTATACCCATTTTAACAGACGGGAAGGAGTGGTGGCTTTCTAGCCTGCAAAACCAATTATTCTTAAGGGGAGGCCCACTCACGTGTCTGCGTTGATTCCAAATATCCGGACTTTGTGCATGTTGGGGAACTTGGCAACGACAAGCACAATCACTGCAAGTGTGTTAAAAAAGAGCATAGGATGTTGGTAGTCTGTTGTATGCGAGGCTATCAGGTACCTGTCAGAAAAACGAAAAAACATGGTCATTAAATGCATGACTTCAGCAAATGAAATCCAAAAAGACTGAAAACAGCTAACTCTCACTGGAAAAAGAAGAAAGACCACAACTTATACATGAACTCATGTCATAAAGGTTTATAAAAGCAGCAAGAGAATCAAGGATGAAAAGCGGTTGCTATTATCGATCAAAATATTGTTGATGTCCGGTTTGTAATACAACTTATCAGACTTCTCTTAGGAAACAAGACTTTGAAAGTCTGCACCAAGTTGAACACAACCTGCAGCTTGGCAGAGAGAGCCTCCCAAATCCCACAGCAAAACTAAAATCTGATCACAAATAACAGGTTCTTCTATTTCTTTCTTTCAGTATTTAACAATATATATACAGACACACACAGAGGTTCTTCTCTTTCTGTCTTTCAATACACACCTATTCCCTCCCAGGTCTCGGATATTCCATTTACCCATGGACCAAGTTTCCAATTTATCTTGAGTATTGAAAGAAATTCCCAGAAAAATTCTAATAAATCATTTAAATGAGGAAGGATTTCCCTGATGAATGTCCTATACAAAATAAAGCATCACAAGCAGTTTTTTCTTCTTTTTAAAATTTTTTTTTTTTTATGATGGGAACCTTGGGAAGGTATGACCCTTTGGACCCAAACCTCGCCAACCTGGGGAGAAGTAGCCTAGAAACCACCACCAAGGCCCCCCACTTTAGTCTGCAATTCCCAGGATAGGAATCAAACTCAGCAGCCATACCTCAGACCATTTATTAACCCCTACCAACTGGATCACGCCTTAGTGGTCATTACTCCAAATGAATATACAAAAATTAGCACTGATCTAAGCACCAAGAGCTAATATATTAGAAACAACCAATTGACATCAATGCACACAATTTATCTTTCATTAACATAACCATGTTGGTCGAATGTTAAAAACACAATCGCTTTTTACAAATCCAGTTGATAACTGTTAGCAGAATCAAAAGAGAACATAGCTAATTGTACACATATAAACATACTTGATCTTTATTAAAAGCAAGGCAACAAGAATAACATTTGATGAATGAGAGGAGACTTTATACAAATTTAATAATAAGAAAGCCACGTTATAGAACCCAGTTGTGATAGTAAGGGACAAACAATGTTATACATGATTGGTGGATATCCGTGTTTAATTACTCATTGTTGAATGCTGCCATGCCTAGTAGTCCATATAGTTTGTTACTCCAATTATGGGAACAAAAGAACAAAAGAAAAGGCTGAATAGTAAACATTCAATGCTTGAGAATGAATACATGCATACATACATAAATTACAGATATACAGCAAAAAGTAATAGGATAAGATCATCAGCAAGTTACAGAGAAGTTGTAAAATATCATATAACAGACTTACAGAACAACAGGTACAACAGTTAAAAACTTTCTGTTACGAGTAAGCTGCTTTCCATTGTCTATCTGCTCCCACCAAGTCAAGCCATTGTAAATCCCTTGATCTTCAGCAAATGGGGTTCCTTTCTTCCAGTGAAAGAAGTGGTATGTGACCTGAAAATAGACCAATCATGTAATGTTGACTCAGATAACTATCAAGCAGATTGGTCATGTTCTGATAATAAATATAAAAAGTGGAAGAATCAGCACATAAACGCATCACCAGAACAACAAAATTTCCTTAGAAAAAGCTTAAGGTTTTTACAGTCTGTGAACTACAATAGCAAATCAACTTATCTTTATTCTTTACATTAGAAAGAAGCAAAAGAACTGCTAGATTGAACAACCACGAAGATTTTAAACACAGCAATCAACTGGTTGAAAAACCTCATATGATTACATAGATGCTGACCTTCTAATAAGTTAATGACTTAATATAGAATAGAAAACGAAGCAGAAGATAAAGCACTTAACAAACAGATATAAACAGATAAATGAGTGAATGCCAAAACACCAGTATAGGCAAAATCATTTAGACAAGCTGCCAAACTGATCGATATGGACAAACTTTGCATGCAAAAGCTTAATTTCTGCTGTAGAGACATGTGGCAATGCCTAGGAACCAAGAATTATAGTATATGCCAGCCTATATCTCAATTCAAAACAGATTCTCAGAACTTAATGACATTGATCAATATCCAAAACCCCTGATTTCCCTGTTCGCCACTTCCCCTTCTATAATTAAGATGTCACAACAACTAACTTAAAGATGTATGCATGCAAAACTATGGCATGGTCCATCTGATGCTCATCAATACATCACTTGATATGATTTTAGTTCCCGATAAGAGTTCAGGCCAGCAAAACAAGGCAAAGTTCAAACTTTAAACAACTGCTCTAACACAACTAAGGCATAAAATTTGCATAAAAAAAAGTAAGGCATAAAATGATAGATTCAGACTTACAATCTAATCAAAACTTAAAACAAAAATAAATCAACAAACAACAAAAGAAGCAAAAGGGAAATTGCAACAACATATCCTGTTTCATATTATCAGGAAACATAGTGTAGAACAAAAGGGAGAAAACCAAAACAACCTTCAAAGCCAGCCCATACAAAGCCAATTTTAACAAGAATAAAAACCAAACAAAAGAAAGAAAAAAGGGCAATTTGCAGGCATAATAAGAAAATGAATTGAACATTCACAGGCATAACAAGAAACCCAATTGAACATTCAATGCAATAAGCCAATTAAAAAAGAAAAGAAAACGTACAAGGAAGTGGGAGAGATTAACGATGGTCCAAGCCATGCCAGGAGAGCAACCGAAGATGGAGAGAACAAGGAGCCACGAGAAGAAGAGGAATAGAATATAGGAAGTCCATACTCCTGGGTACATAAACCACTCCGTGTTCCGATTCAGATCCGCTGGTGGCACCGCTTTCACATACAGATTCGCCATTTCTTTACAATACCCACCAAACCTCAGACTTTCGTTTTCTCAAGCCACCCTGATTGTTGGATTTGGTCGATTTATATCAATCCAAAGACTTTGGCTTCTTTGGTTATACGATTTATTTAGGAATCTAAAAGGCGAACACCTAGAGATCCCCCCGACGAGTTTTCTTTATCTGTTAAAAAAATGGAAAGCTCTCAAGTTTTTGGATTAATTATGTGAGCCGATAATTATCACAACAACAACCAACACAAACTGACTTATCTCGTGAACCTTTTTTGCTTTCGCAACTCCACACGGCACCGTTCTGTTTTGATTAATTTTCGTCTAAGACTTTCTTGTTTTCTTTATTTTGTTTCCTTGCTTGGAAACTTGGATTGGGTTATCAATGAATGTGTGATAGGCTTCTAACTTTCATCGGGCTCAATTTCAGCCCATGGAGATGGAGTCAAAAGTATCAAATGAGCCAGTTTGGATATTCATCTTCCCGTACCAAAAGGCTGACCCAGTGACCCATAATCTTATATTTGTTGACAGGTTGGCCCTATACTCAAATGTTGTTCGTACCTTAACCAGGTTGACGGCCCAAAACATTTGATGCAGCAAAGGTTTTTTTTTTTTTCTTGAAACTTTATTTGGTAGGTGGGTCAGTGTGCTCAATCCTTCGAATAAGGAAGAGAAAAAAAAGATGAAAAATAGAGGCGGAAGCTACCTTGAACTAGCATGGGAGTGGTGAGATGTGCGGTCCTATTCAATTCTTATGAAACTTCTCTTTCTTCTTTCGTTCAATTTTCTTATAGCAAAATAGTGAAAAAAATGGACCACACTTTTGAATTCTGGTCTGATCAACTGCTATTGCTATATCTCCAATGCCATCAACTTAAACCCCATTAAACGAAACATATTAAAATCAACGTATATGTCTTTTTCTGAAATGAAGTTTTGGTAAACTCACCATATAATTCAAGAAATCAAAGCTTTTTAATCACCCACTATTTACATGCTGAAAAAGCTAAAGCATGTTTGCTGAATCTACTAGCTGAGCAAATGCAAAGAGAAAATAAATCTAAAAAAAGATAAAGGAAAGAAATTGTAACCCAATAGCAAAGCTCGGTTTTAAACCGCATAATATACGCTATAAGTAATGCTGGCGTGCAATTTTGTTTCATCGATTTGGACAAAAACCTATCAAAATTAGTTTTAAAAAAAACCAATCGAGGAGAAGATCCACAGATTTTTTAGAATTTTTTTAAAAAAACCATGACCTAATTTTGACAGGAATTTTTAACTAATTAAGTACACTTTTAAATTAACTTATCATTGTATAGTGTCTAACGTGATGATAGGCTCAACATTTTTACCACTCCTATCACTGCTCATTGCTAAAGGACCACAAGTTGGGTGTCTTTGTAGTACCGCATATTTAATCTATATTAGTACTTTTTATATCAAATTTATAATTTGGGCATTTCCACTTATGGCTAAGTACACTGGTCATCTGTGTTTATTAGTTTCTCCTCCTCTGGCTCCACAACAAAGAGGAATCCAATATGTTAGGTCTCTCTCTCTCTCCTAATGTTTGCCAGATAATGGTTTTAGAAGTGAATTCAGTTTGCACAAAGCTCAAATGGTTTAGAATATGGACTAATTATTATATGGTCATATGGTAGAGGAACAACATTTTACACGTGAATATGATGTGAAAATGTAAGTTATGTAAATGGAAAGTCAGTTGAATTTGTTCTTAATGTTGTGTTTTCTTTGTTTACCAATTAAGACTGATAAAATTTGTAAGATAAATTGCAAAGGAATTCAAAAAAGAGGATGATGTGTTGTTTCTACTAAATTCTGTCTTGATTGCACTGGCTATAATTTATATAGATTGCATATGTAGTTATTAACAATTAATGCTTTCAGAGGTGCTGATTAATTAAAATTGTTGATTCCATATGGTTAAAATGAAAGTAAATGTCACTTGAATACAAGCCTCTTCGAGCTGAAAATGAACTGTCTTTGAACTTTATCAGCTGGTAACTAATATCTACATGTGTAGTTATGGCTTTTGCTGTTTTAAAGAATGATCATCAAAGACCAAGCTGGCCAATTGTACCTAAGATCCATCGCATGTGCTGGTCACATCACCTAGCACTGAGCTGGGTCCATCAAACCTAAAATTAGCCTGAGTAAGGCAGCGTCAGTGTTAATCCCTTAATTTTTATCTTTTTACTCTCCAATTAGATGGTACCATCAAACTTTTAAGCGCATTTTCCTGAGTTTGTGCTGCTTCCATAATCTTCTCTTACCATGACAGTGGTACTGTCGTGTTGCTGCTCTCTCGGCTTTATAAAAGATCCACTAGTCATAAAAAGACAACAGCAAAAACATATTGGTTTGCAATTACTAGTTAAAACCATAAAGCAAATGATACTCAAATAAAGGGTGATCGAACTTTTTAGGCCATTTGATCTCAATATCTCCTCTAAGGATAGTGGATCAAGAATAGTTGCCTAGTGTTGGTCAGTATGTGAACTTACCTACCGAAACGGGCTAATATAACATAAATTCTTCTAAATTAATTTGAAGCAGTCAAATAATCAGGGGCTCCCCTTGTATAAATATGTACTAGGCAATGGTGTTTAGACCAATCAAGGTGTAGCCAACTAAGAAACAAAGACAGTGAGAGGTTAAAGCAGCTCTTCTTTCTTTGTAGAATCAAAAACCCACCAGCCTGACTAGCTCTATTTTCTCTCATTCTTGTGAATTTTTTCATTCAACATGGCAAAGGAAGCCTCTAGCAAATTGGAATGGAGGATAAATGTACTTGATGGGACATCGAAGATGTTAGACCCTGAATCTGGGGTAGTACGCAAAATATGGCTAGGACTGAAAGGTTTTATGGGAGGACTCATTTTGAAAGTTTGGGGTGTTTTGGAGAAGGTATGGAAGTTAGGAGTTGCCGACCCTAGAAAGGTCATCCATTGTATCAAAGTAGGGATGGCACTTTCCATCGTGTCACTTTTTTACTACATGAGGCCTTTGTATGATGATTTTAAAGAGAATGCTTTGTGGGCAGTGATGACCGTTGTGGTTGTTTTCGAATACACTGTGGGTTAGTCTTCAAGGCCTTTTCACTAATTTCCTATGACTTGAGATTTTCTTCATGTTTTATGTTATTAAATTTCATCATTCAATTTTTATTTCCACTTCCATGGCAGGAGCCACATTGTCTAGATGCATTAACAGAGTAACAGGAACTTTTCTTGCGGGAGCACTCGGTGTTGGTATTCACTGGGTGGCTGATCAGTCAGGAGACAAATTGAAACCCATAATTCTTGGGATCTCAGTTTTTCTCTTTGGTAAGTAAATTAAAGAGCAATGCCAAGAAATTAAATTCCCTGAGCTAGCCAGGACATTCTTGACTTTCTCAGTTCAAACTCAATATATGTATATATATTGTTGTTATTTTTTCATGCAGCTTCAGGAGCAACCTTCTCAAGGTTTATCCCATCGGTTAAAGCCCGTTTCGATTATGGCGCTATGATCTTCATCCTCACCTTCAGCTTGATATCAGTTTCTGGGTACCGAGTGGTAGACTTATTTAAGTTTGCTCAACAGAGGTTATCCATAGTTGGCATTGGAATTTCCTTGTGCATCCTTATAACCATGCTGTTCTGTCCCATCTGGGCGGGTAGCGAGCTTCACCGTCTGATTCATCAAAACATGGAAAAGCTTGCTGATTCCTTGGATGGTACGTAAAACGCGTGCCACACTCATTGGAAAAAAGAAACAAGAAAAAAATCTTTGCTAATGAGATTATATTTAACATAGATAGTCAATACTATTTTCTTTGTCCAACTAATTGCAGGGTGTGTAACTGAGTACTTCGAAGGGGAAATTAGTGGGGAGGGTCTCAACAAGAAGATGCAAGGGTATAAATGTGTGCTTAATTCCAAAGCAACAGAAGAATCTATGGTAGAATGTTATTAATTTAATTTAATCAAATGCGTTTAAGGGGATTAATATTTCATTTTCATGAACATTCAATATTTTTGTTTCTATCAATTTCGCAGGCTAATTTTGCAAGATGGGAACCAACACATGGCCGGTTCAACTTTGGACATCCATGGAAACAATACCTCAAAATTGGGGATTCATTGCGCACCTGCGCTTATTGCATTAAGACTCTGAATAGTCGTATCGACTCAGAAATTCAGGTAAAAATCTTAGCAAAAGATATGGATCAACTCAGATATATAAAGCTTTTAAAGAAAATGGTATATTTAAGTCTAAACTATTGTTTCTGTATATGAACGCAGGCACCTCCATGCATAAGTAGACATCTTAGTGATAAGTGCTTGAAAGTAAGCTTCAATTCTTCTAATGTACTGAAGGAATTGGCATTAATAATCATGAAAATGAAAAGGTCTTCCAAGATAGATTTCAGAGTTGCAGAGATGCACTTTGCAGTACAAGAACTTCAGGATGCCATGAAATCTTTGCCTAGCCACCTTATTACATCCTCATCATCAATAGGAGAAGAATCAACCGAAGCCAAAGTACCTCCTATCATGGAGTTTCTTCCCCTGGTCACGGTAGTTTCTTTGTTGGCAGAAATTGCATCAAGAGTAGGAGTAGTTGTTGATGCAGTGGAAGAGCTGGCGAGACTTGCAGAATTCAAGCCTGCAAAGGATCGGAAATCCAAGCAACACCAACCTACTAATTAACTTATTTCAGATAATCTAAATCATCAAACCATATGAAGGGCCAACCCCAGAAGTTTGAGTAGACATTGACAGAGAAAATTGATCTGCTTCTGTGTTTACCTTGTAAAGACGCTTATAGGTTTGTCAATTGCTTATTGCTCGATCGCTACATAAAGAAAATCTTGTTCATTGCTCGTTTTGTCTATTGCATTACATCTTGCAATGCACCGACTCTGTTCATGCGTTTCACTTTATGCAATTTTTATTGCATAGATTGCGTCGAAATAATAGATGTTGCAAAATTCTCAGACCTACATTGGATTCTAGGACTGCATGTTGCTTTACGCCTAAGTTATAGTATTCTTACTTTCTAGTTATACAATCCAATCGAATTGACCTGTGAATCAATTAAAAGTGAATTATATAGAAAATTCTGGAAAATCTGTCATGTATGTGGTTGGGAACACGTCATTCCATGCATGTAAATTGTGGCACCCAAACGTTAGGGGAAGAAATATGTTTTAACACGTATCAACATGGAGAGATTTTCTTCCATTTTTTGTAATCAAGTTTTGAGCTTCTTGCTATTAGCCACGTCTTGTCTGAAGATCCCTCTGCTTTCATATCTTACTTCCAACTAGGGATGAAGTTCTGCTAAAAACACATGGAAACATGTTGCAACCTCATAGCGCACCATCATTCCTAAGATACGACACGTTATACAACATAAACGTAATATAAAAAAATTATGTAAATTTAATATAACTGTATTTTGTGTCTTGATCGTATCGACACTATTAAAATATAACATTATTTTTGTTGTATTTCGTGTCAAGCATGGATAATACTCTTAAGATAAAGTAACGTTTATGTCTTAAATATCTAAAGATAAAGTAGGTTTATGGGGATGAACAGAAATCACCGTGAGAAATGCTTCAATAAGTTATACTATCAAAAATTGGTTTGAGAAGTAACTCCTAGGCTGTAAATGTTCAAGCATTGCTCTCGTAATCCTAGCTAATCTGGTTTTCATTCATGTCATCCACCGCATGGTTAATCTTTATTTAATAATTATTCTACTTCTCAAATTAGTTAAGTCAAAGCCATGAATTTTGGAACTAGAACAAATCAATGGCTTCAACAGAATACTGTACAGACCATCATTGGTGCCAAAGGAAGAAACAAATAAACTCAAAAGGATTGTGAATTTGTTATGCATGATAACAAGCAACCATGTTAATGACTTCATTTAATCCTTACCTAATGTTCTTTCGAGTACACAGCTTAAACTGCTTTATGGTAAGAAAAGATAATAAAGTTATGAGCAGAGACAGACTAAAGGGAGACAACCACATTAGGAGTTCAATCAAGATTTCAGCTAATACTTTTATTGTGCGAGCAATTGAAGAAGAAATTCACATCACGTCACAATGCCACAAGTTGTCTGTTAGAAGCCTCATTTTCTTCAGTTGCTTCATTACGCCCTGCCCAGCCTAGGTTCAAAGACAAGTCCTCAACGGCCACCTTGATCACATCACTTCGAACACCTATATCAGTTGCATACCTGCTCATACAGTACATCCCAGCTGTAACTGTTGCCACACCTACAGGACTTGGCATCAACAACTTTAGCGGAGAAGAAAGCAGAGCAGCCAAGGGGGCACCAATCACAGAAGAAGCCTGACCGCTTCTTCCAACCCCCAGTTTGTCCATAATCAGAAGACCAGTTTTGCAATACAGTGCAAAGTCCTCACAGTTATTCTGGAATATGTCATAATTTCCAAATCCATTTTGAAGAAGATACATTGCCCGGTTGATAACTGTTTCAGCAGTGTCAGACACTGCTGTGGAGCATGTGCCTCCACGCACTTTGGCAAGGAAAACAGATGGGGTCACCCCATATTCAAAGCAGTAGAGAGATCCATTTTGCAGGAAGCAATCCAGGCATGAGAGTTGTACACCACTGTTTGGCTGCCGGAAGCCACAATCAGGAAATATTGGACAAGTTGATTGAGGGGATATAGGATCATATAGATCAGAAGATGTCTCAGTGCTTGAATCTAAGTTACGTTCGGGTCTAAAATGAACCACCTTGCTTCCACCAACAAAGATACCTACATGATTTAACATTCAAGAAAGCTCATGAATAATATTCAGTTTAATTCAACCATAAAAGGAACTGCTAAGTAAATATCTCACAACCTCTAACTACTGTTTCATCACGTAATATATGTTGAAACATTTCACGTTTAAAGATATCTCTAGACTAAATGAAACGAAGTCATAAACTATTAAGGTAGAATAACAAAGTGATGATAAACTTGATATAGAAAGGATTTATGCAAGCATGGGGTCACTGAGGAATTTGACACTGGAATCATAGTTATTGTATTAATGGAATAAGAAGTCAGAACCAGAGATATGCTTGGGAATCCCGACAATCAGAATAAGGCAGTAATAGTACAAAGTGAAGGAATCATGAGAAAGATGAAACGAATCCTAAAGGCACAATTCAGTTGATGATGCCATGAAATTAATTCTAAACCAACAACAAATGAATGTAAGGGGAAGCCAAATCTCAAGTTTTAAGCAGTTAACCTATAGAACAAACAGAATTACCCTAAAACTTTGTGGCTAAAAAGATCATGATTGGCATTGAACCTCCGTCAACGATGCCACTTCGAAACAACAAGAGGGGAGAGAGTTGTACACATCTAATGTTTTTCAAATAGCTGTGCCATGTAGGATTGTGGCTGTGGGCTAGAAGCTTATTGTCCTCATTATTAGCTTCTGCAAGCTAAGATTTGTGGCATTTTCCTAACTGCTGGGCATCTGTAGCAAATAAACCTCTTCGTACTGATATGACAATTATTTGATCATCCTGAATGCCACTATCAAGTAACAAATTGACCTCTGTAACAATTACATTCTACAAAAACTTTACAGAGCCAACTGTTGATTCAAAAGAAAAAGTAAAAAAAAAGATGAACTGCCAGTGATAACATTCCAGCAGCTTAAGAAAGAGATCCCTATAAATGGTGAAATTTTAAACCACCTCTCTTCCACTGCTAAGAAACTACAGTCACCAGATTTAAAAAGGGATTAAAGTTTTCTTTTGATTTTCTTACACCATATCTCATAATCAAATAGGGAATTGACCATAAAATACTAACGATCAGCACCATTACTTGTAAGAAAAGAAAAATCAACTTAAAAGTTAAAACAACTCAAACAGACAGAATACAGAATATATCAATTCCTAGTTATCCAAAAGAACAGCACAATCACGAGTAAAGGTATCTTAAACTTCTAACCCAAAAAAAAAGGCATCCTAAACCTACAAGACTTTTTTTAAGTTTCAGAGCTTTTGAAGCAAAATTCACCTATCAAAAAAACAAAAAGAAGAAAAGCAGTAACTTTAACCTTTACGTTACGAAGACCCAGGAATAGTTTTGAAACAAAAATAGTAAAAAGGACACAAAAACAAGACAAAATTATAAGGAAAAATGAAAACCAGAAACGGAGATAGATTCACAAATTACAATGCAAAAATGTTTCCTACGTCTTCTTTTTTTAAAGGAAGAAAACCATAACCTCCAAAGTCCAAATTGAAGTCAAAGAGGTAGAAAAAAAGATACCATGGTGAGAGTAGGTGAAAACAGCTCTGTAAGTGTAAATATGATCTCCTGGTTTGATCTCATTCCTCTCAACTCTGTTTGTAAGCAGACCCATTCTTCACCCTACTACTCTTTCGCCTGCCTCCCCTCCTTTTTCTTCTACTCTTCTCCTCTGCTTCTTTGCGTCTGATAATGTAAGTAGCTCTGCTTTGGTAAAGCAAAACACAGCTTATTTATCGTAGACCCCACATAATTATGCCTTCGAATATTAGCAGCGTGGCTTAATCTTATTGGCTCATCGAATCATCCGCTCAACAACAATTGCTAAATTAACCGTTAACACCGGTTCCTTTGAACTTATTTGGGGTTTTGTTTTTGACGGTCACAATCATTGCTCCTGTTATTTAATGGGTATACATATATAATGATCATCGATGATGAACAAAAACTTTTGCATTTCCTCTTTGCTTCTCTTTTCCTTTCCTCTGTATACTAGGAAAGGGTAAGTTTGGAATTTAAATCCACCATCATTAGGTAATGAAGTTCATCAAGCTAAGGATTTTAAGCATGTTTAAGGGGCCAAACCAAAGACAACCAAAGATAAAGTGTTGCCGTTTCCATGGGGAAAAAGGCAAGGAAGCAACAAATTAAAGGACTTTGGATTCCTTGGTACATTGGGAAGTTTCCTTCATTCCCTACCTTTCTGTGCTTTTACATGTAATCTGAAACAGCATTTAATATACATTCCACGATGTTTTTGTTGACCTTGCATTTTGAATACCCAAAATGTAATTCATCTTCTAGCAATACCTTTACAAGAAAAATAGTATTTATAATTCAATGAACAAGATATCTCGAGCGTAATTCATAAAAAATAATAATAGTAATAACTATGGATTGTGGTAAAGAATGATAATTTTCTATAGTCTATAATTAGTAGACGCTCCAATTGTAGATTACTGAATCAAATTCTGGGTTTTTCTCTAACATGCTTCTCAATTCTTTGGCGCATGTGGCATCTTTGGAGAGTAACAATGCAAAGCCCCCACCACCTGCTCCCACAAGCTTGTAGCCAGAGCAGTAGGGGTCAGCGAAAGCAAAGAGTTTATCAACATATTCATTGCTGCAGTAAGGATCAAGTTCTTGATGCAACCTCCAAGCCTCCAACATAATCTCCCCTAGCTTATCTATATCGCAGTTCATCAAAGCTTCCCTCCCTATCTTAGCTAATTCAGTAAGTCGCTTGATACTGGATACGAGAAGGTTGTCTCGTCTAAGATACCGAAGGACTACCTTTTGTAGGACTTGATGTGCAAGTCGAACCTTCACGATTATAATAGAATAACGTTTAAGTTAGAATCTATCAGAAATGAAGTCAATAAGTACTAATTATAATATAAATTTTAAAATGATCATAAGGTTGAAGATGCAAGCATCCATGAAGGCAAATAGAACTGCAAAGAAGACTTAAGTACTTACTTGACCTGTAAATACCACAAGCAACCGTTGCTGCAATTCAGAAATCAATTGAGGAGATGCCACAAGAGGGAAGACTTGTAGGCGCAATGGTATTCCAGGGTAACTGGTAGTAAATTTTATCCCGGGATACAGACCTCCTATCTGATCCTGCCACCCACCACCCGTTCCCATGAGCTGCTCTAGTACCAAAACAAGTCTGGCAACATTTTCATTGCTATCATCACCATCAATAATCTGGAGAAGTCCTTTCACAACAGCAGCTGCTAAGATGCTAGAAGTTCCCAAGCCACTGCCCCGAGGCACATTAGCCCATGTCTTTATTTGCAAGCCGTTAGATACTAGTATGTTTTCGTGAATAATTCCAGTCACCAGCAGGGCAGATTTCACAAGCCTAAAAGGATCATTGCCATCAAAAGGAGGAGTAATTGAAGTAAGCTCTTCAATATGTAGCTCGTTTCCAGAATCATCGATAATCAACACTCCACTTGAATTTGTTGTCTCTACAATTGTGCCAATTGGAAGAGAACATTCCAAGCTCACTGCCATATTAAGAACACAGCCAGCACGCTCTAAGCTCCATGGAGGTGTATCACTCCAGCCACCAACAAAATCTACTCGAACTGGTAACTCAACTTTTGCTGTTCTTGAATGAAAAGATTGATCCATGGAGCCACCATGGTTATTGTTCCCACAGGCAGAAGTAGACTTGCTGCCAGAGGATTCCAAGAGATGTTCTAAACCAAGGTGAAAAATGAGTGGAATTAGATGTGAAATTCAGAAATAAAGCAAGCATCTCATTAGAAAAAGAAATTTGAGAAATACATACAGGACAATACATACATAGAAGCAAATTTACAAAGATTTGAGTGATTGTTTAGAGTTGTATTTTAACAGCTTTAGTTATTTAATTGCATTCCCCAAATAATTTTTAAAGTAGATGCACTTAACTAACCTCCAAAACCATATCTAACTGCTGATGCAGTTTCATCAGCAACCGCAGCCCATACTTTGTGCTCTAACTCACAAGCTTTTGTTTCCTCTCCACATGCTCGAAGAAGATCAACTTGCACCTGATATGCCCTGCTTTTGGGAAGAATCTTAGAATTCTGCTCAATAAGTTTGGGACAAAGGGCTAGGAAGTCTTTACATATTTTGACTCCGGAAATCTCTTTTTGTAGAATTTCTTCACACATTTGAGATAAATTGCGCCCAACCATGCCATAGTTAATGCAAGCCTTGGCAATACCAGCTGCAATATCTGCTTGATGATTACTGGATCCAATGCACATTTTTGAGAAGTCAATTGATCCATGCAATTCCTCCAAACTGACACGCCGGGAGTTTCTCCACAAGGGAAGAAAGTTTTGGTTTTTTTCATCGCTCAAGCCCATCAACCACATTCCCAGACTAAGCATCTCAAAGTAAGAAAGAATGGGAAACAATTTTGCATTCCACAAGCACTTATCCTGACTGCAAGTTGAGCTCCACATATCATTTTCCTGAATACCTAAATCAAGCATGACCTTCTCCCAGGGTTTCCCACAAAATGTGCCATCTTTGGTAAGAGGATTTTTTGGGTTATCATGGATGCCACAAAATACAATCACTCTTTCAGTACATCCTAACAAAGGAACCTCCCACAGACAATGGCGGTCAGGAAGCACAAACTTTACTGAATTATCTGTCATTCTATCACTGTCCTCTGGAACATTAATACCAACAACTATAGACTGGGAACCAATCCGTATTCCACCTGAAATGTTTGAATCATATATTAGCGAATCTTCACCAATTGAGACACCATCTGCAATTTTGCAAGACAGAACAACAGCAGATGCTGCAATGTCTGACACAGTGGTTGCTGGTATGGAACATAAGTGTCTCCGACCCACAAGTGCTGAATCAGATGCACTAAGGTGATCCAAAACTTCGCTTGAAGTTCCAAAATGTAAAAACAACAAATCATCTGTAGTGGAAAAATAACAAGGAATAACATGAACAAATCAAATCACATAAATATTAGTAACAAAATGAGAACAGCAAGGCTTTGATGCTTTAAACAAAGTTAATTGTTTAACATACAGGCACAATAGCTGAACATCCTTTGCTTTCCCAATTTGCTGACCAATGCTTCACCCAAGGGGCGATGTCGTAACCAGTCATGCTTTGTAGGTACCCAAGCTGCCACAAGATCTTCATACAAACTCATCTGCATAAGTACAAAGATGCATCAAAAGCTTGAAACTATTAGAACTACATGAAGTTTAAGACTTTTTGAACCTACATATAGAATTAAACAAATGTTGTTTTCTTTACCAAAGGATATAGGAGTTCTAATCATTCAACACAGCTAGTAATTACCACAAAATTAGAAACCAATATAAGAATTAGTAGCTTGCCTCCTTTTTGCCTTTCAGAAGCTCTGAAATCAACGGGTGGCAAGAACAAGCAAGCTTTACAAGCTCCACCCATGCATCACCTCTAACAGCTATTATTCCAGTGTCAAGCAAAGCTCTACCATCATCTAGTATTGCTTGATTCTTAACAAGATCCTCTACACTAGGTTTCTGAAGAAGGTTGTTAACTAAACTGACTGTGTAACTTTCCTCAAGAATTTCCGTTTTAGATGCCACAATGACACCATGGTTGGCAGCAATATCAAGTGTTATAGGCACAGTAACAATGCTAGATGCATCCGGTGGAAGAATCAAAGTGGAGGCATCAAAACATGGGAGAACATCTCCAGTCATGGTAAATATTCCACCTGAGCAAGATAAAAAAAATTACGTTTTCAATTGTTTTTCTTCAAACTATTGTTTACTTTTTTACTAAAGGTATACATTTTTTTTTAATTTCCAGAGACCAGAAATTAAATGCTTTACGAAAGCAACGAACTTGTTTGCTCAACTTAATTTTATCTTTTAGCAAGTATAAAGTAAATATAACTAAAAACAAGCAGTAAAAACAATAATTAAAAACAGAGCCTAACAGCAAGGATTTTCCAGAATTTCAATTTAAGTAATCTCAAATTTTCACCTTCGTTTTTAAAAGCTTGTCGGGCACAAGAAGCAATTGCAAGAATATGGTCGAAAAGCAAGGGGACGGGACCATCAGGGTCATCAGCAGCCAAGTAAGGAAGCGGCAAAAAAACTTTACCCATTGGATTCGCCCATGGAACCCTTTTAGAATCCCCACCAGCATGAAGCAACAAAATATGTTTTTTACCCATCAAACTAACCAAACTATCTCCACAACACCCTCCATTTTCAAATGGAATAACTCGCTCGTAATGTTGAGCGACGGCGTGAATGGCATTGAGCGTGGCAGCCCCGGATCCGATCCGTTGACCCTCGGGGTCAGGCACGGCGAGAGTGACAGTGGAAGAAGCGATCCTGCCTACTCGCTTGGCCCGTTTGAGTTGCCAGTCATAGAGTTGGGCTTGTTCGGGGCTAGCAGCTGTTAGAACGATGGCGTCCCATGTTGGAACCCTAGTGGGGTGGCGTACCGACAACCTTAAATGGTACCATGATTTTCGGAGGACGGCGGTTAAGTCGGCTTTCCGTTTGGCTCTGGAGAATATTCTTTTTCGGTTTGATTCCATTAGATATTTGGGGAAATTAGATTAGAGAGTTTTCAGGAGATAAGGGGGAGTAGAAGGGAAGAAGGTGTAGTTAGAATTGGAATGAATACAGATTGACTATCTTGTTCTTTTCAAAGACTAGATGCAGAAGAGTTGATCTGGTCCACCACGCTCCTTCAGTTCCCTCTGCTGTCGGATTTTAATTTTTGATTGCTTGGAACAAGCCAGATTAAGGGGAAAAATAAAAATAAATTATTATTGGCGTCGCCCGGACTCGAACCGGAGACCTTCAGTGTGTTAGACTGACGTGATAACCAACTACACCACGACACCATGTTTGTTATGAACCTCTTCATATAATTAATTTCAAAAACATATATTTGAGAGAAACATTTGTGAAAGAAAAAGATTAGTTCTAATGGCCTTTTGTATCACAAAAATTTGTAACTTTTCTATGTACGAAAATATGAATTTCGAGTAAGTTTATTGTCGGCAACGGAATGGATTTTAGAAAATCTTCACGCATGGTTTCAAAAGTGGTTTAGTTTTACTAAAGTTTTGTTTTCTCTCTCATTGCACCTAATCGAATGATTACTGCTAATATTTGGGTTCATAATATATTTTGGATGTATTTAGAATATAAGATACGGTGATTTTATAAATTATAAATAATAATATTATTATATTTTATATTTGATAAAAGAATTAAAATATTATAATTTTATTTATTAATTAGAATTATTTTTTTATTTTAAAATAATTAATCATCCTAAATCAAAAGAATAATTATTTTTTTTATAATTTTATTATTAATTTTAAATAAAAATTAAATATAATATAAAATAATTATTATTTTATTTTATTTATCATCTTTTACATCAAACATAATCTTATTTATTTATATAATTTTACCTAAAATCCATCTCCTTAATTCTTAAAAAAAAAAAAACAGAAGCTAACATCAACTTGAAAAAACTTAAAAAGAACGCGGGTCAAAGAGAGTTGACTTGATTCACAGGATCTCAGTGACAGCAATGCATGGCAACGGGCCACGGCCCAAGGGCGCTTAAGGGTCCTTTGGCTTCATAAGCATATCCCGAGGTGCGGTTACCGAGGGCTTTTCTGTCAATCAGCATTAATTAGTAATTTGGATACAAACAGTTGGTGTGATGATTTTTGTCAGTGGTTCGCTGACCATGTTGGTCAACTGATTTGTTTTTTTACCCTTTATTTTATATTATAAATATAAAAATATCTTTATAATTTTATTTTGTTTTTTATTTTGATTTTTATTTAAAAATATAAAATAATTTTATTAATTTAATATAAAAAATTATTCGATGTACTATTATTTTATTAATTTTTAATTATACAGTGAAAATTAATATTTAACATTAAAATAATTTAATAATTTTAAATTATACATTAATTTTATAAATATTAAATAATTATTATATACAAATTTTAATTTAATATTCTTAATATATCTTTTCTCACTATAATTCACTTTATAATTACTATTTTTACATCTATATATATTATCATTAATTTTATTCTTATTATTATATTAATAAATCTTACTTTTACTAATATTTTTAATCTCCTCAAAATCATTCAATATTACCTATTAAATATATCATAAGATGGATTGTAGTTTAAAATGGCGCAATTTTATAACAAAGACAAAATCCCGGCCGCCGCAATCACAAAAAGGGCGCAGGTGGCGCGGCAAAACGTCAGCTTTCACTCGCTGAATATAATAATAATAAAAGTCCACTCCCGAAAGGACAGTTGGAAAATCAAACAAATGTTAACGCTGTACCGACATAAAGTAGAAAAGTAAAGTCTTGCGTTAGTTTCAAGTTTCAACTCACAAGCTTTCCTTGAATTTCAACCCCAAATCACACTCTCCTTATTGATCCTTTTATCTTTTTGGGTTTTGGAATTTTTTGAAAGAGGCTTTTTTTTTTTTTTGAGAAATAAAATGGTATTGGAGAAGCTGGGTTTGGTGTAAAGAAATGAGAGGGTTGAGAGGGTTGAGAGACAGGGCATTTGGGGTTATGAATTGTAGACGCGGTTCATTGCATCGACACGACGTCGTTGTTGTCGCACTCGAATGCCGGTTCCGTTCATGGTCGGCAGTTGATTCTTTCTCCATTGCCTCCAAAGCTTTCTCTGAGCAGCATAAGCAACAACAAAAGCGTCGTCGTTTCCTTCGTATCCTGGTTCTTTAACAGCCACCGCTTTGATTGCTTAATCCCCGATCTCTTCCTCCCCCCTCTGCGCACCCCTTTAAAAAAAAAGTTAAAACATTTCAAAATTTTGAAGAAAAAATACAAAATTTTCCTTTTCTTTTTGGTAGCTGTCTGGTTCAATGAATTCTGGGTTAGGATTGGTAATGCCAAAGAATGATGGAATGTTTTATACTTCTGAAGCAGAACCCTTTTTCGTAGAAAGAGATCCTACGGGTCGTTACATTCGGGTATGAATCTATTGTTGACTTTGTTTCGATATTATGGTTACATTTTGATGTTAAATGTTTGAGATTTAAGACAAAGTTAGAAATGGAATGTAAAAAATATATATGATACTGCTTTTGTATCTTTTTTTTTTTTTTAATAACAGTTTGATGAAGTCTTGGGCAAGGGTGCATTCAAGACAGTGTATGGTTCTTAATCTTCCCTGGTCTTAGTTTGGGTATTGTTTTAATGATTGTTTACCCTTAGGCTTTGTTTACAATTTTCTAGTTACAGAGCATTTGATGAAGTTGATGGAATAGAAGTTGCTTGGAACCAAGTAAGGATTGATGATGTCTTGCGGTCGCCAGAAGATTTGGAAAATTTGTATTCTGAAATTCATCTCTTGAGATCATTGAAAAATGAAGATATCATCCAGTTTTACAATTCATGGGTGGATGACAAGAAGAAAACTGTTAACATGATTACAGAGCTATTCACATCTGGGAGTCTCAGGATGTTTGTATTTTATGATTATTTTCTTCTGTTCTTTCGGTCAATCCGGTTCTGTATGACATAGTTTATGTCCTTTTGTTATCAGATATCGTAAGAAGCATAAAAACGTTGATATGAAAGCCATAAAGAACTGAGCAAGGTAGATTCTTCAAGGCCTAGTGTATCTTCACAGTCATGAACCCCCTATTATTCATAGGGATTTAAAGTGTGACAATATTTTTATTAATGGGAATAATGAAGAGGAATATAATGAACTTGTAGATGTATACTCTTTCGGAATGTGTCTGTTAGAGATGGTTACTTTTGAGTATCCATATAATGAATGTAAAAATCCAGCACAGATCTATAAGAAAGTTATCTCTGTAAGTACATCACGCAACTCTTTATTATCACGTTATAAACAGGGATTTTGTTCATTTTGGACTTGGTTTTTTGTGACTTTCAGTTTTGTATTTTGGTGAATTTCATTCAGGGCATCAAACCTGCTTCCCTTAGTAAGGTGGTTGATCCACGAATAAGGGAATTCATCAAGAAATGTCTGGTTCCAGCATCTGAGAGATTGTCTGCAAAGGAGCTTTTGGATGATCCATTTCTGAAAGTAGAGTACCCAAAGGAACCAATCCGACTTCCCCTCCAACTACCCAACCCAAGTTCGAAAGCAATAAATGTACCTGCATCAGGGCCTTCGTCCATGGACATAGATACTGACTATAAGCAGCTTTCTGTAAGTACATGCACTGGAAGCAACAGTAAGAGTCCTCAGTGTCCGGTTTTGGAGTTCCAGAGGATGCATAAGAACAATGAATTCAGGTTGAGAGGAGAAAAGGATGATGACAATTCAGTTTCATTAACCTTGCGTATTGCTGATTCTTGTGGTAAGTGCTTGTAGTACTTTGAAAACTTGAGTTATTCCTTATTAAAGTATAATAACACAGGAGTTAACTGCTATTTCGCAGGTCGAGTAAGAAACATACATTTTCTCTTTTACCTTGACAGCGATACCGCTCTCTCAGTCACAGCTGAGATGGTTGAACAACTAGAGTTAACAGATCATGATTTTGCCTTCATAGCTCAGTTTATTGGTTGCTTGATAATGAAACTTCTACCTGGTTGGAAGCCCTCTGATTATTCCTCTAGTGGAACTGCAAATCCATGTGGTGAGTTTTCAGTTTCCAGGAACTGCAAAACCTCAATGGACCGCCCATGGGATTCATTTCTAACTAGTGATCCTGCAATGATGGTTGTGAAAGACGTTGATTCTGGTCCAAATACAAGCCTCTGAGGAGGTGCCATACAAGCCCAAGATGCTTCCAACGAGTATTATTATTCTTTGGAAGATCAAGAGTCGCAAGCATTGGTTGTTTCGAAGATACTGATTGAGGAGATTTCAATTAAGAATGCTGAATCGTCTGAGGCTGCTGACTCAAATATAGATGGAATCTGTAAACATTTAGGTGGATATAACTCTGAACAAGACCTTCAGGATACTTGTTATGATGAATGCAACTCAAGAAAAAACGATAGCAGTACCAAAGAGTGCATACCAGTTAACGAATTGGTGAAGACTTCAGGGCTCTCTTTCCTCAATTTAAGCTGAGAACTGAATGTTATGAGCCTGCCAGGTTGCTGCTCATCCCTGTCTACAGTGGACAATGATCTGGATGTTGAACTAAAGCTGGAGCTTGATGCAATTGAGGCACAGTATCAACATTGGTTTCAAGAGCTTTCTAGGAAGAGGGAGGAGGCATTGGAGGCTACTAAAAAGGGATGGATGGCAAAGAAAAAGTTTTCTGTTCAGCGATTAAGAACCTGAACTGTTTTCTTCTTGCTGTACTATTTTGTTGTTGCTTTTCTACTTAATTTTTTCCCTATGAGAATTGTGATGATATCTATTTAAACCTCTTGCATTGGATGTGGCCCTTTTTTGGCAGTCGTGATCGTTCTTATCAGAAGCTGTTTTTCTGGTATCTTTCGTTGGAATGAGATTGTATATAATTTTGCACAACGGCTAACAGTACCGCCTACTCTCTTACCTGTCATGCTTATTATTGCTTGGCTATCAGAAGACGACTTTAGTTGCTGTAATCAGGCTGAGCTAGACTTGGGTTTCATGACAATAAAGATGCAGGTGGCCCAGGTAATTGCTGCTAATGGGCAAGTGCTTGAACCAGAAAGAGAATGAAAAAACACAGCAAGCTATCGATAATCGCATGCACTTGCAGAACTTCAAACTTCATGTTTTTTATTTCTTATTGAGAAGACAGGTTGTTTAAGTTGCAATGATCCATGGCGAGTGCCTAATGGTTTTGACTTGCTCTGATCTCTCGGACTCGATGCTAATTCATTTTCCACAGAGGAGGGGAGGGAAGGAGCCGAAGTTTCAGCTTTGCAATCATCAATACTAAATCTTTCTCAGCATTTGCATGTGCAAAAGAGCAATCAACTAATTAAACCAAGAATCAAGTACAATGAACTTATATTAAAAAAGGGATTAAAGTGATTATTAATAATTTCACCAACGGACCTCAGATTCTCAAAAGCAAACTATAACTGCCCATAATTTGAAGACTAATCATGGTATCTCGCCTTGCATAGCCCTTTATATTGCATCTTATGAATAAATTATACACTAAAGCAGTGACCATCTACTGTTTCCATAATCCTTCTGTCTGATGCACAATAATTTGTTTTCCTTCCGTCTATTTTCATTTCCATTTGCTTCAATAAAGGAAAAGGTACAAGTACAATTAAGAAACTCAAAATTTGCACTCAAGAGACTTGTAAGGATCATGCCCCACAAAGTCAGGGCATGTAAGAAATAAGGGAATAACATGTACTCAATCCTCACGCCACATCTTTTCGCATTTCAAGCACTGATAGAATGTTGTTGCTGGCTCATCAGCTGACCGAATCTGCACCTGTGAGAAGAGGGCCCTTCCAAAGTTGCAAAAAGGGCATGTTGCTGCCAGAAAATAGAGATAATGTTTAAAAGAGGACAAGAAGATAAGGCAAGGATAATATCGAGAAGAAGAGAGATCAGCATGCCAAGTGTCAGATCGTATCGGGCACCAAAGTTGGCTTTGTCATTTAGCAATCAAGAGATGACTGTAAGAACACCTAAAGAATGAATTATTAACCAATGTTTTAATTAGAAATTTGAAAATTTTAGGCACTGAGTTGATTAAAGAAGCCAAAAAATTCACATTTATGTTTCCAAATGCCTATAAGACAAATATGGCTTAACTTTGCAAATCTCAGCCTGAATCAACTGACCAATTTTACATAGCCTTCTGTCCAACAACAAGAAATAACATATGATACTTTATACAATAGAGAAAAGTTTGAGAATTACACAGGTCATTATGGGACTGTAAGAAGCACACTTTCTATTAAAAATTGAACCTGCAATCTACTTACATTTGTAGTAAACTATCCCAACCAACTTTCACTCAGTTGGCTTTTACTTGAAACAGATAACTTTTCAAATTTTAGGTCATCTTCTCTTGCCACCCAACTAAACATTTTCAATAGGATTTTGGCTTTCTATTTTTTCCACCCATCATATAGCATCTTGGCAAGCAGTAATTCATTCTTTAGCATCTAGAAGCATAATTTGAAAAAAAAATAGTTCAATGACCACCACCTGCTACCTTCATCATCTATACACCTAGCTCCAGAACACTTTTGAGATAAAAGTTAAGGACCTCTCAATGTACAGAATCAAAACTACAACAAAGTGTTCAAAATATAATTATAATGCATCAAGAACATAAGACCTTTATTGAACTTCTACTTTACAAAGGCAACAAACACCAAAAAATCCAAACTTGTAACCCCAAAAGAGTCATATGACAATGCACAAAGACAATAAGAAAAAATAATACCAGAAAACAAAAGGCTAACGGCTATAATCTAATAAAATTATGGTTTTTGACTAACATCAAGAATCAAGTTACAAGTATCTTCAGCAACATTCAGTGGGGCATAAGAACCCAAAAAACAAAGAACCCCAATTTCAGGTTGAGAATGAACTTACCATCAGTCTCAGAGCCACCAATTTTCATATCATCTTTGCTGAAAACAGGTTCTATTTCTTTCTTAACAAGATGCTGTCTTCTCTTTATTTTAACCTTTTAAAAAAACCCCACAACACAAAAATCACTCAACAACAAAGAAAATAAAAAGAAAAGAATTGACAGTAGTTCAAAATAAAAATACCTTGCTTTCGAGGTGACAAACGTAGGGACAAGTCGGGCAAAAGAACCTCGAAGGCCTACCCATATGTGTTAACTCGTACTGTAACATGTTCCCACAAGTTGGGCAAAACTCCATTCTTTTTTACTTTATCAAAGACGGGTTTTCGCGTTCGAATCCTTCCACTTGATCAGTTTCTTCGAAAACCCTAATTGGAGCCTCTTTTTTTAATTTCAGTTGAGTGAGTTGCTCTGTTTATGGAGTGTTCCATGTTAAGGGAAAAGAATTTAATTAATTAATGATATCCCCTAGTGTTTTGTAATATTTATTCTTTGACCCCTCCTCTTTGGGCTATTTCCAATTATGGGCTAAAATTTGTTCAAGTTGTTTCTATTTGTTAAAATCTCGGATTAATTGTGCTTCTTAGTAGCGGTATCCATACTCCAACCGCTCTTTACTGCTCTGATTGAGGAGTGTGGTTGGGTTGGAGGTATATAAAAGCTTGTGAGGAATCAGAGAAGTTCAGGGAAGGCAAAATTGCAGTGCAAAATTCAAGATTGCCAAGGTGAACTGGTAATCCTTGATTTCTCATACTGTTGTTGTTGATTCAAGTCATTTGGTTCTGTAATGGCAACCTTGCCTGCCTTCTTGACCAAAGTAAAAAATGTTGACAAAGATTAAACCAATTAACTATTGTCCTCGTTGATTAAAACAGGTGTAAAATTTCGTTTCCTTTTCCTTTTAAATAGGTTAAACCAATTAACCATTGTCCTATCTCTTGATGGCTTTCTTCCTCGAAGCAGAATTGAAGCTATTTCTTACTTTTAATTGGAATTGTTAAGTTAATTGCTGTTGTTAGAGCAAAAAGATCAACTAAAATCGTGATTTTTTTGTTTATAGTATCTTTTCAAAGCAGTTAGCAGGAATTGAAAATGTAAAAAAGTTTTCTTCAATGTGCTTGGGCAACATGTATACAGTAACAACAAAATGTTGAGACCTTGTCTGCCTTTGGCGATTCACATCATTGACAAAAAAAAAAAAAAATTAAGTAGGTATGGTACTGTTTTTGAGAGATTGGCTCATCTTTTTCTAATGGTCTAGTGTGGGAATCACCATTTCATGCCTCCTAGACAGAATCAGCGACCTTTTTGCCAGCATCTGCACCATTGATTCGCCTTTTTACTCTGATGATTGTGGAGAGTTGTGCTGCGTTGGAAACAGCTAGGAAGTTTAGGTGGAAAAGATGTTAAAGAAGGAAATTTTCGAATCTAAAAAAATCTAGGAGCTGACAGAAAGTTGTAGCAGCAATAAGTTGATTATGCATGAACCAAGCCGGATGATCCACTTCGTATGACAGAAAGAAAATCAGAGCCCCACTTTTAAGATGTAAATGCTTTATTTTATTCGGGCAATCTTGACCGAATCTAATGCAGTAACAGCAAATATTGAGCTTATGAATTATTCCATTTTTAGTTACTTCATTACAGGGAAATGTAATTACTCAACTACAAAGCCAACTACTTTTTCCCTACATGTCTTCCCAATAATGCAAGGAACTAATGTCCTAGAATTGGTTTGATGGCACAGATTTTCAGACATGAAGCTTTTCTCTTAGCATCCATTGTCAGCATGGGGAGGAGGGCAGAGCTTTGCCTTTAAAAATGGCTAAAACTGTTTATTGATCTAATAGCCATTAAAGATGCTTAACTGCCCCAAAATCATGGGAACAACTTTCACTTTAAAAAAAAAAAAAAGAGGAAAACAACATACACTAAACTCTAAAGCTTTGATGTCTGCAGGACAAGGGCAGGCATGTGCCTGGAGACAGAGTGGTCACGCACCTATAAACGTATATTGAAAGAGATATGACCCCCAATTTTATAATTGCCTTGAAAGATCAACTAGACTGGGCTTTGTCAAGAGACTCCAGAAAAGAAATAAGAAACTTCCTTTGGCTTTATGTACCTTCCGCTTCCGACTTTAATGTTTGTCTTCCCTGATGGAGAATGATCCTTCGGGAAGGACCCCAAATTTCATTTTCTTTTAAATCGGCAATCATATAATATATATAATCGATGTGATGAATGACGACATTGATGACAATTTCTATCAAATTTACTACGAATCTTATTGTCATATATCGATAAAAGGTCTATTTAATGACTTAGAAAATCGTTTCTTAGACGGCATAAAGATTAAAAACAAACAAAAATACCCCCAAACAAAAACCAATAGAGTGGAACCAAATCAAATTGTAATTTTATTAGTAGGAAAACACTAAGAATCATTAGGGAATTCAGTAAGAGAAACCAAACATCAAGGGATGGGCATAACAGGCAGAGGGACCAGAACAAATGGTAGTTCGAGGCACCGTGTGCAAAGGAAAGGAAAACAATGATTGGGCTTTGAGCAGGGTTTAGAAATCTTTTGTTTCGTTTCGAATATGTGAAAAATTGGACGATAGATATGATGGACAATTATAGAGCTGGCAACAAATTGCAAGAATCCAAGTATATTATCTAATTGGAGAGAAAGAGAGAGAGATAGGGAATAGGAACCTTCATAGAAAGCCAACACCGGACAATTTAAGCAATTCCTTCTGTCAAAAGATTACGTCAATCCACCCAATCCCCTATCTCCCCTACATCTGCACCTTCCTAGAAACTGTTAAATTGAGAATAAAAATATAGACCCAAAAAAAAATCTAACACCAATTAGGACCAAATATAACGCAGTTACACCACCATAAAATAGAAAAGAAATCTACCCATTATAAGGAATCCAACCGTCCATTTTGGAACAAACGGATTTCGTGTGTCGCATCACCCATCAAACGGTTCGCGGAAACCTGAGAAAGCGACGAAACTTTGCAATGCTCATAAAGGCTTTGGTGGTCCTTATATAACCCGCTCCCTTGGTGCAAAGTCCACAGTGCGCAACTCGAGCTATCCTTGTCCCTCAAATATTGTTTTTTTGTTTAGACCACCCTAGTAGAAAACAGCAACCAACCATAATGGAACGCAAGGGAATTAAAGAAAGAACTACGACAACAACAAGCGAGTACGAGGATTTGTTACCTGTGATGGCTGAAAAGCTCGACGTAGAAGCTTTTGTGTCTGAATTATGTGGAGGGTTTCGGCTTCTAGCTGACCAGGAAAGAGGGTTGATAACGCCAGAGAGTCTGAGGAGAAATTCTGCACTTTTAGGCATGGAAGGGATGAGCAAAGAGGAAGCCGAAGGGATGGTTAGAGAAGGTGATCTCGACGGAGATGGGGCACTTAACCAGACTGAGTTTTGCATCCTGATGGTGAGGCTCAGCCCTGGAATGATGGAGGACGCCGAGACGTGGCTCGAGAAGGCGATTGATCAGGAGCTAAGGAAACCCTCAACTTGATCCTTTTTTTGTGTTTGTATTCGGTGCAGTAAGATATTATATTTATCTTATTGTTCTGCAAGGTTTACTGTTAATGAAAATGATTATCTCCAATTAATGGTCTGAATAGAGACCGTACACGCTGAGTTTTTTTTTTTTTTGGGGGGGGGGGTGTGTGTTGGGTACAGAAAACGGCAGACTTCTTACCAAACCCTAACCTGCATCCTGAACTCAGACTTCTTGTACCATGTTCTTGAATCTTGAGGTACGTGATAACTCTTTCTCGTTTACAACATGCGCTTCATGAACCCAAATAAACAGTGAAACCTTCCTTGGTTCCGTTCCTCTAGGATGATTTCCCAATCGTGATATTTGAAAATAATTTAAAAGTATAAAATCAAGAAAGGGAATTATAAATCAACTAAGTTGCAACAGAAGATATTAAATGGGCAGAAAATCGTGCCAGCATTTATTTTTATCAAAACAACTATCCATATTAAGACGATTAAAAGGTTTTTGATTGCATACCAAAATGATCTGCCCATACATCCCAACTAAGTCGGAAAATGACATCAGATCAGTTCAACCTAATAATATCCCAACTTTAAGACTTATGCAATGGGAAAGAGAAGAAAAATGCTTATTCATTCTTCTACGGTAAGCATACACTGCTAGGGAGAGAGCAACAAAATAGATGAGGTCCCATTTGTTGAACAAGTGTTTTCCCCCATTAATCTGACAGCAGTTTATGTGCGAGGCCTTCAAGCAGGTGATCGGCTGCTAATTCAATGAACAATGACGACGCATTTCTTGCGGAAAATAAATAAATAATATGACACAGATATAATTTGCTCGCAAAACAAACCTCAGAAAAAGAAATAAAAGAACCAGCAAGCAACGATAATTGGCTTTAATCACTACCTGCGATATCTGCCATACTCAGGACTCCTGTGCCTCCCATACTCAAGACTCTTGCGCCTGTCATAAGCAGGACCATTGTAGCAATCATAAACAGGACTGCCAGCCAAATTGGGACTTGGTCGCCTGAGATAGGCAGGACTTTGGTACCTCCCATATAGACTATCCCAACGTCTACCAACTTCCTCTTGACTATCACATCTGTCATCCCTCTCATCATCATCTCTTAAAGCATATTCAAGAGACACAACTCTGTCCAGTAACTTGCAGTAAAGGCACAACATGGTACTTTAGGAACAATACCATCTGAACATGAAATCAATAGAAAAACAGCGTATATTTCATTATTTCTACCTCCTTCGTGTGGCCTCGAGGGCTTTGATAGCATGCTCTTGTGTTGCAAACAGCACAATCGCAAAGTTCCTCCTAATGCGAACATGAAGAACCTTCCCATATGGCTCAAAGTGCCTTACTATATCATGTTCCCTAGTACGAATTGATCGAAGTTGACAACAAACAAGGTTTTGGTGCGCCTCAGATTTGTTACTAACCTAGAACCTTCACGATGCCAACCACATTCACCGTGACAGTAAAATTATCCATCTTAAAATCAGAAATTATTGCTTTCATACCCATTAAAACTAAAAACCAGTAACTAAAGGAGTAACTCAGAGAGAACAATAATGCACCTTAGCCCACTCCACAGACAGTCGCCTCAGGTCATAACCAAAAGGAATATTATCAAGTCCACGAATAGCATCATTTTTTTCATCCTCAAAATAAACAAAAGCAAATCCTGAAATGTAAACTGAGATCCTAGGCAGAAATGATAGTTTGTATCATTGGGGCTATACCCACAGAACTAGTGGTACATCAGCCAAATCACAGGATTTCTTTTCCCTGCAAGAACAAAGAAATATATACGACACCTGCAAATATGTGAAGGAAGGGCTGATGAACATAAGGATGTAGAAGCATTGCATGATGCACTAAATCAAGATGGTTGCATATTAAAGGTTTAAATCCAAGTTTTCAGGTCTGAGACATCATTGCAAAGCATGCTTCATCATTTAGACAGCAGGAGTTCAGAAATGGAAGGCATGAAATGACAGAATTTAGTGATCCTCTAAAGTCAGTGGTACTAGACATGACATGATAATTTGATAGGCCCCCACCAGCCAGTAAGGAGGGTGAGTAACATGATCGAGTGAAGAAAAACCAGGATATGCCATCTGTGGGTGGCAGGAGAGCAGGCAGGCAGGAATATTTCCATTGCAATAGAAGTTTTTATAGAAAGTTGGCAAGTCCAGATAGAAGCTCATTTTCCCTTCGTAGAAGTTCCTGCATCAAAACAAACACTTAATATGGAGGTTTTTTCCAGTAAAATTGAAAACCAACGGGTGCCATTTTAATGTCTTCCTGGATAGTGTAATCAGACATACAGACCTCTGTAGATGCTGCAAATCTGACATCCAGTCCGAAAACAAGATAAATACCCATTTAACGATTTTTGTTCATTCAAACACCAAAGTTAAATGCATCCTCGAGCCAGGATATGTGCAGGACTGCTACCCAACAAATCACTCCTAGCATTCCCCTCATTGTACTCGCTTCAAGTGTCAGTTAAGACACTATTAAAGAGAAGATATGACAAAGGGTGACAAGATTGCAGCCAGCAGGCAAAAAGGCAAAGCACAAAACTAGTACATGAGTTGTTCTTATTTCGATGAACAAAAACAAAACGTTGATGAAAAGTTAGCCACGCGAAGGGAGAAGAAAACCAAAACAGTAACTCCACCAGGATATTCGTTATAAGAGAAAATTCATTGGAGTTAAGTGGGAAAAACAAGTGACGAGACACCAACATTTCCAAATGATCCAGAACGATTAGAAAAACCAAGAAATTCTCTCTTTATTAATTAAAATAAAGAAAATCTAATAAATGTACTAGGCTCAGCCAACCATCAGCAAAATATAAAAGGCACGATACACCAAACCACAAAAAAAATGCATTTTAGATTCAGAAAAGCTTCAATTCAGTCAGCCCACAGTCTAAAATTACCAAATTCATTTAGCTAATAGCACCAAACTACTATCCCAAAACAGGGTACATTCATTGTTTTTGATAGTCGTTGGAATAGATCTTTTACCAGATTTCATGTCAAAACGGTCGATCCTCCCGTACTTTGAAAACAAACGCTCCAGCTCTGACTGCCGAGTCTCGTACTCGAAGTTCCCCGCAAAGACAAGCTTCATTATTTCCCCAAAAGAATTGCACCTTTATCCTTAACAGAAACCTAAAGCAAAGCAAAAACCAGAAAATAAAATTATAAACCCTAGAATAGACAAAAAAAATGCCACTACTATTTGTGTTTAGACATACAATGAACAGTGTTAAGTCGCGTTTTCCTACGTCTTCTTGGGAACCAAACAGACGAAAAACGGGATAGAGATATTTCAAGAAAAAGTAAGGAGAGAAACTCGCGAAGTTGCGATTAAAACCTCAATCGGAAACCCTAGAAGAAAAAGAAAGTGAATTTGGAATTTTGGGGGGTAAGGAAAGTTAACAGGCAAATTACTATAACTATTAAGGGCGTAAATATCGGTTAAGGTGTTCTCCTCGATAATTAAATTAGAGTCTTTATCGATAATAATTTGTTAAAATCATCTTAAATTTATAATTTATAATTATTTATTTTAAATTATTAAATATCGATATATTTTATTTTAAAAAATTAAATAACTTATTAAATTTTTTTATCAAAATAAAAATTGAGGGCGTAAATTGTACTTATAATGCCAAACAAAGCCCTAAAAGGATCGAGAGTTGACGCTGGCATGGTCTTTTTGGCCGTTCGATTATTACTCCATGCAGCGTGACACAATATTATCCGTTGGATTGTTAAGGGAGTAGGCCCGCAGATTAATTGTTGAGTTTTAAGGGTGGGCCAAAAGTGGGCTGGTTTACGACTATGACTTGGCCCATATGAATGTGTCATTGGGCTCAAAAGCAGAGAAGCCACCCAAAACAAATCGGAACAGAACTTTTCATTTTCATTTTTTTTTCTGTATAATTCCATGATGGAGATTTAAATTGATTTTTAAACAACTCTAAAAAAAATTGATTATCAGGGAAAAAAAAAACTCTTTCTTTTTTAAGATTTCGAACTCAAAAATTAACATTAAAATTAACGTAAATGGTATTTTTAATACTTTCGTCTTCCTACTTTTTCTTTTAATTTCTTTTCTGTTTAGAAAAGGATGGAAGCATTGATGCAAATTTGCAACAATAATTTTATTTTACAAGAGAAATTCATTATAAAGCCATGTTTAAGGAAAAGAAAATGAAATATTTCACTCAAATTTGCAATATTAATTTCATGGAAGAAATACATTTGAGGATTTTATATTTATCCTTATATTAAATATATCCTAAACCTAAGCCTCCATCAGTCCCTCCTCCAGTAATGCTTCATCTGATTTAAACTAGTAAATTCCATTAATGGGTTGTGAGTAATGTACTAATAATATAAAGGACAACATCAATTCGGATTTAGATCGAGTGAAATATATATTTTTTAATTGTTTAAATTTGAATTTATTAAAAGATTATAAAAAAATAATTTGATATAAATAAACATGTTTTGATCAATCAAAAAAAAATTCTAAGCAAATCGAATATCTCTTACTATTCAATAAAAAAGCAACAATAAAATTTTGCTAAATTAATGAAGTGGTAGTATATTGAACCTACAGAAGCCAATCATTAGCTTTCTATGCATTATTTTGCTGTTCAAACTAAAGCATTAACATAAGGTGTCTGGTCTTTGAGGTACAATATAATGAAATGAGAGTTCATGAAGAAGTATAACAGTGATTTTGTCAAACATGGTCAATTAGAAAAAGAAAAAAAAAAGCCTCCACATGTCACCTATTGTAGAATTATTGGCATTGATGAAAGTGCCGTTTATAACCTCAAATATTTGTTACCCTAAATTCCATGTTTATTTATATTCAAAAGTAAAAAAATTATTTATTTAAATACAATTAATTAAACATATACAATTGACAGATAGGATGAAAGCTACATGTATATGTTGTGTAGGAAAAATGACAACCTTCTTTTCATTTTTTTTTTAATTTTTGGGTGGACTCTTGGTGGAAAACTTAAATGTTGTGTATTAATCTTTGGCATGAGAGCACTAATGAAATAAGAAAAG